AATTAAACAATAAAGTACTGGGTAAACCAGCTTCACCTTCTATTGCATTGTGACACAGTTATTCATTTATATTTCGTGTACGTTAAAATATAAATAACTTATTTTATGTTCAAGAAAAAAGAGCAGTAAAACTAATCAACTTCTGATGAATTTTTGATACTAATTGTTATTACTTGTTTAGAAGAGAATTTATTTATGTGTTGAGGCTAACAAATTATTTTTCTTCTTTCTAGTTAAAAACATAAACACAAAGTTTGTCCTGACTGAGAGATTAAATATTCCAATAGTTCAGCTAACAAATTGCCCGGGACTAATGCTGGGACGCTACAAATTGCTCTTGCTCTACTTCACAGTCGTTATACTCTCTGTGGACTGCCTTTACTTCAGAATAAATTTGATCAATCTGAATAATTTATTGTTCAAATCATCATTTGCAATGGGTCATTTGAATCAGTCTATTTACACCTCCTAAATAATCAATGGCTGAGTGTTTGATATCTACAAACAAAATTATCTTCTTTTACAATTTTTCAAATCATTTTTAGCATTAGGCCTACGTCATAGTTGTGTAACACAAAATCTTGCTCACAAAAAACAAAACAGAGTCTATCTTTATCTATTTGATCTATCTTTTGACAAAATATTTGTTAATTTGAATTAAATTGTTTACTCCTACCTAATAATTCAAATTTTTTTTAATAAATAAACAAGACTTCCTTCAATAATATGCAATGTTATTACTAAGAGGCGATTCCTATCTGAGTATCTAGTTGTAGCTGCTTACACCTATTCAGCATAATTATACGAATTAAAAAACATAAGAATAGAGAATAAAATCTCCTGTATTCAAAATCCTCTTGGACTATGTCCTATAATTGTCCTAGAAATTTCAAGGTAACAAGTTCCCAATAAGTATTAACTGGTCCCAAAGGCAAACAAAAATAAGAAGCACGGTAAAGTAACTATTATTCTAAATAATAAAAATGAGTGGATATTTGCTAATGATTATTTAGCAATATCATTATTTGGGATTATATAAAAATATTGGGTATAAATTAGATATGAAAGCTTTTGCTTGTTAAATCAATGGATTTACCTTTAATAATAATTAATAATTAACAATCAAAAAGGAAAAGTGTAGTCAAAACTTAATATTTATGTGTTGATTCTGTTTGATTTTGAATAACAAGTTCACTTGCAAAGAATATTAAATAAATGTTTACAAACACATAAATTTAATTTAATTTATTAATTTTATTTGATAATAAATTTATAGTAATAAAATAATAATACTAATAAAAATCTGCAATAATTGCCATACAGAAGTTGAACCAAAGACTGCCAAATATAACAAATCGAAGAACATCATCACCCAAACAATTTTAATTCAAAATGAGAAAAGTTCCTACAACAACTGATTTGAATATTGTGCTTGTATTACGACCTAGATTTTCTTTTAATCAAACTTTCTAAGAAAAAGGATTACATGGCTTTATGAAGCTTTCCTTAAAGAAAAGCCAAGAACTTTCTTAATAAGATTTTTCTCGCTATGTTATGATAACTTCATTATTATGTTATTTACACAGTGTGTCATTTGAGTCTGCAAATTCAGAATTCTATCACTACATTCGAAAGTGTTTAAAGATGAATAATAATTGCTAGCTAGACTGGGGAAAGGTGCAGGATTTTATCAAAGTGGTAAAACAAAACCTATTGTATACCACCGATAGTTACCTATGGTGCAGCAGTTTGGAACATAGCATGATGGAAAAGAGTAGGGTTCAGGCGGGGGAAATGAAGTTTGTAAGAGGTATTAAAAATAAAACAAGATTGGATAGAATTAGGAAAGAAGAATTGAGAACAGGAATAGTTGAAGACAGTTTGAGAGAACGAGTAGAGAAATCAAGATTGGTATAGTTCAGCTACTTAAAAGAATGAAAAATGATAGAATCCCCCCCCCCCCCCCCCAAAGAAAAGGGTGAGCTTCACATGAACAGACGATGACCAACAGGAAGACCTTGAAGAAAGTTGACTAACAAGGTGAGAGGAAATGTGGAAGCAAGAGAAGTACAGTGACAGTATGTGGAGAAAGAGGAATTGTTGAGAGATAGAAGATGTAGAGGCCTAGTGAAGACCCAGACCCGGAGATAACTGGAACGGAAGAGGATATGTATGTATGTAATAATTGTCATCTAGAAGACATATCAAATACCACACTCAATTTACTGAGAAGCCTAGTGATCTACCACCTACATTTTTAAAGGTATGAGGCAGCAAGCTAGATGTTAGAATGAGACATGGTTATGTTAAGTTGTATGTTTGACTATTGATAGAAGAAGACATCTCTTTTTCATTTTGAATTTGTCACCAGTTTTAGAGCAAAACTTTTAGTTTTGAATGTTGATATACTAGTTGAACTATGTCACCAACGGTGTGCGCTGATTTTAATTAGTTGTTTCTATCGCACGTACAAACTTTTTAACCAAGACAATCCAAAACTACACCTTTTTTAAAAACTATAACATCTTTTTAACACGTTTACTGCAGCATACATTAAACAGGCACTTGCCAATGGCTCACCACCGAATCAGGGAGCGCAATTGGCATTCAAATATTTCAGTCCGAGGATACACAAAAGAGCAGTGGTGATTGTGCTGCGTTACCCTGAAAGTGGACGTAGTTCACTGAAACACCCAAAGGTAGCAGCACTGCCTGGATGCGTAGCCAGTGTCGTGTCTTTGTAAGGTTGGTCGAAGAGAGAAAATTCCCGAAACCGGGACAAAAGCTCTGCCAGACAGTATTTTATGGGAAATTCAAGTACCAAACCTACACCAAAATAAAGCTCAATGATTGATGAATCAATTGTATTGGAAGGGACCCAATGACTGGTGAACCTGTCATGGGCACGTAGTTTCGCGTGATGGGTAATCCCATTACCCGCAGTGAACATGTTAAGTCACATCATCAAAAACTACAAGGGATAGAATAGATATTAAACCTAACTGGACTCCCTGAGTGGCTTTTTAAACTATGTTCCCTTTTGAACAAAAAATTAGTGACAGCTAGTCTATAGATATGATAATCTAATTTAGTATCCAAAAGTCAACGATTATACACATAGGCTCTAAAATTTAAAACAAACCCAAAAACTTTCTTTGCTGTTTGATAAAAAGTTTGTGGGTGTTTCTATATGTTGTAATGATTAATATTTTAATTTGAAACATTTTAGAATATCAATTATATTAAAACTAATTTGCTTGGCAATTTACTGGATCACAGTTTTGTCACAAGGATGATCAATTGGTGATTGCTGGGGTTTGAGTCCAGTCACATCCCATGAGTAATTTTACTACTATGGCTTAAGACAGTAGCTCAAATAGGTATATCCTACACATGATGTGTACAAATGTTGAACCATTCAGATTCCATTAAATATATAGGTATTGGGTATTGTATTTTGAGCAACGATTGTTTTTTATGGATTTATGCTGACTTCTCTTTGTCCTTCTTTCGAATTATGTAGAAAGGGAGCTTTAGTAACATGAATGTTCATGAAATGATTTAAAAAAAAGCAAAATAGGGGTCTAAAGTGTATTGGTAATAATGCACAGTTGTTTAGTTTATGGTTCAACTTTGATTAAGGTTTTTCTGAAGTTAAATAGGTGTATCGGAGAAGGTTACCCGTCCTTTGTATGGGGATTAGGTGTGTTTGCAATGTGCTTTTTGCATTTATATCTGTACTTTGCATTTGAATCAAGGAAAGGACACAACAGAAGAAAATGTTATCCTATAAATTTACTTTATGAAATAGTTACACATCTACTGCTAATTGTATAAACTAAATTCAATTATATGCCTTAGTTCTTTTGAGTCTCTTTCTTTTTTAGTTCAATTAATTCTAAGGAACTTATTAAACTACATAGTGGGCTATATAAGTTGTGCTGATTCACATATGAAAATACTGTAATTACATGATTTAATTTTGAAAGATACTCTTACAGTATCAGCAGTGTACTTTTTCTGAAACCCCCTATATTTGAAGTCAATAAGTAAAAAAGAATCTTAATAAAACAATCTCTTACTACCTTATGTTAATGAAATATATACCTATTCTTAACTTAACACTTGCATTTTGTAAATGTAAATCAAACATCAAGCAACAATATATGTCAACAGATTGCCAAGATCTATCAGTAGTCAAGGATTTCAGTCAATTATGCCATAAGTGATATTACCAGGATCTTAAACTGTGTCTTATGATGTCTGAAGCCATTGTTTAATTTATAATATTAATTACAACACAATATTGTAATTCCAAACATCATCCAATAGCCTGGTACAATTTCCTTCTTACTGATTCTTTCTACAACTTTTTTTTTCTTCTCACAAACTTAATCAATATCACTCATTTCTCTTTTTACACCCTCAATCTACCCATCATTCTTGTAACAGATTATCAATATTGGCATTCCCAAGTGAGAGAGATCACACAGAAGTAAGGTACAGAGGAAACTTACTTATAGGCTATGGTATGACCGTGGGACTGTGGGTGGCAGTGCTTATGTACAACCTACAGAGCCAATAAACTTGTGATGAACAACGAAGAGCCCAGGATGCAAATACTAGGAAGTTCCTATCGCACAGAGCTCAATGTCTCCCTCCAGTGTTAGCGTATGTGATGGCGAGGAGGAGAGGAGTGCGACGGGGGTTATGAGGAGACGTAACTAGTGCTAGCCACTGGCGGAAGAGAAAGCCAATGTGGAAAGCTGAACTGACGTGGTTACAGTGGCGAGTTAGGTTTCCACTCAAATATCTATAAACCCAATGAGGCGTGACACTACCAACTGGCGCAGCTAAACACACCACTTCTACGTGCTAATGTTTACCCTTGTGTCTATTTTATCCAAAACTTAATTTATTACATTATTTTAAGACAAATTTTTTTATAAAAATGTTCAAGAACAAAAGAACAAAAGTGAACTCAACAAATAAGCACTCACCTCTGATGATGTGAGATAACACAGCCGCGAGTCCGTACTCTCGATGGAGGCTTGCTGCACGATACCGTAACGCGATTCTCGGTCACTCATATAGTCTGAGCGTAGACTGTCTTGCCGATCAAACGTCCCCCTGCAACAAGCATAAGCAAAACTCAGGACATAATGTTTATTTATACATCCATGTACAACTTGGATGTGCTTCCTAAGAATTTTGAAAGGATTGAATCCTGAAAAATATTATGGTACCTGTCTCAAAAGCTACTAAATAGTTGTTGAGCCTATGCTTGGTTTTTCCCCCGAGTAAACCAAATTCTGGCTGACTGGTTGGTTCAATGACCTAGGAAAATAGGTGAGGTACTTGATGTGAGTGCTACTTCCACATCGAAGTTTGCCTCCATTTTGACTGTGAGACAAAGCGAGAGTGTACAGGGTTACCTCGCATAAGCTCTCGTCCGAATTATGGGAACTACGGGCAAGCGCCTCGGCGAGAATGTACTGGGGGCATAGCATAAATTTAATTTTGTAGGTCTATGCCTCCTGCCCAAATTGATTGAAATCTCTCTTTGAAAGTTGAGCGCTGAATATGCTTTCTTACTATGCCAGGTGGATACCAAGGTTCTCTGAGAAGATTAGAGTCCTCGCTAATGTCAATTCCTTCCCTTTAAGTAGTGAAGTAAAATGTTTAATACTTAAAAGGATGAAATAGCAAAATCTTGTATAACTCCTGCTGATAAAAGGACTGCCCCTTCCACTGTCAAGACAAGATGCATCCGATTAAGCTATTGCAGCCACTCTTTTATAAGCCACAGAAAGGTTGGAGGAAACATTTAATGGTATAATTATTCCAACCCCTCATTGTACTAATCCGCCACTTTTGTACGGTATATTATTATCACAGTTAACTTAATTGGCCTTTCAAGGGTTATTTTTTAATGGTGATCACTATTACAGGCATAGACTTGTTTGTAGGGATGGACAAGTCTCGAAATTTCAAGAAATGTTAAATCTCACTCTATAAGTCAAGATTTTATTTTGATCAAGAGTTATTTGAGACCAGATTTCCAAAAAAATTTAAATACGCCTGCAAAAAGTCAATGCAGTACCCGCAATACTGAAGGGCGTTGTAGTTGCGTTTCCTTTGCGAAGGCGTTCTTAATTAATTAATTCTAAATCTATATATATAATTCTGTAAGACCAAATTTTTACCAGAAAATTGTGGACGTCTGGTAAGTCGCAGAAAAGTGGGAGAGGTCTTAAATTAAAGGTCTTGACCCCAGGGACTCGGGAAAAATAGCAGAATTCCCATAAAGTTACCAGAATACGAGATATAACGTAAAATATCCACCCTAAGAAATGTATGGGAACTGAAAAACGTTTGCATTCTATCAGCTGTTACTTATTTATTTGCAATGTTTACATTTATTCCGAAAGTCAATGTTGGTAAATAGGCTAGGCATATTAGGAATATAAGTGGCAGTTAGCGGAAAGTTTAGGTACAGTCCTAATCATCACTTTTCTTTATGTTTTTTGGGTCGCTGAACACGAATATGAGGTTTGCTGACAGATATTTTGCCCGGAACATTGGTTATTTTGTGAAAAACCTTAAAATTTGGGCACTTTTTTTTGGTTTTTCGGGCAAATCTCGGTAAGTATTGGTTTTTGAGAAAATCCTGCTTTGTAAAGTTAAATATGACAAAATTTACTACAAGTTTCCTACATAATGTTTGTTTCTACGACGAACCGTTTCGCCACTAGAGCACACTAAAAAAGGCCAGAACTACAAAAAATTAAAAACATTGCTAAATGCTGCCGTTTCACATTACATTTCCATGGAAACAACCCATATTACGATAATTTTAACTATTTATTCATGATAACAAACTGAAACACACTTAAAAATACCCCCGAAGCAGCAAACCTGCAGACTAAGCGAATTTCCATTTCCCTGATTGGATTTACACTAAAATGTCTCCTTAGAAATATCACATTTATCCCCTATTTAAATAAAAGTTTAACGAGTACATAGGTTTGCTGCAACAGGGAGGGTAAAAGGGTGTTTTTTTAAAAGGAAATAATTTAGTATGAAATGAATGCATTTTCCAAATTTGATCGAAATATGTTCATAAACAAGCAAACTACAACAGTTTACTTAGTCTCCATAAGAATAACATGGGCATTTTAAATTTACAGATTTTTGGAATTTTCTCCGTCAGAAGGACAAGAAGTGTAGTTCTTCATCAGAATTCTTAGCGTTGCTGATACGTTGAAACAATGTGTTGTGGTTTACGGGTAAGAATTCTCTACTTTCATCGCGTTATTTACTATGGCAAGTGGCTGGACACGGTCTACTCGTCTGAGTTTGACCTTACCAAAGTTAAAAAATATCTACAACTCTTTTAATGTATTTCATCCTTTTTTCTCAACCACTATAGCAGTCAATCCTGTGGCCAGCAACATCCCTGTGCTGAGAAAATAATTGGGTGTTTTGTGGGAACGGGAAATGTTCCAGCAGTCAGTCATACATCTTGGCATAGATTTATCAAGTGCGTTTCAGTTAATTATCATGAATAAATAGTTCAAATTATCGTAACATGGGTTGTTTCCATGGAAACCCAAGGTAAAACCTTTGTAAAACGATTAGGGTTTATTTTCATTTTTGGTTTTGCCCAGCATGATCGGACTATGGGAACAGGGATTTATAGGGGGTTTTATGGGGTAAAAATTGGTTTTTCCTATTTTTGACCATATAAACTTAAAATTTAGCGATTTATTTCCATACCATTTTGTAGAGCTTAAAAAAACAAATAGTTTAGTATATTAAAGCGTTGTTATGTGCCTAATGGTTACGGATAAAATTCGAAAAATCTGTAAATTTATAAAATACCCATGTTATTTTTATGGAGACTAAGTATACTGTTGTAGTTTGCTTATTTATGAACATATTTTGATCAAATTTGGAAAATGCATTCATTTCATACTAAATTATTTCCTTTAAAAAAACACCTTTTTACCCTCCCTGTTGCAGCAAACCTAAGTACTCGTTAAACTTTTATTTAAATAGGGAATAAATGTGATATTTCTAAGGAGACATTTTAGTGTAAATACAATCAGGGAAATGTAAATTCGCTTAGTCTGCAGGTTTGCTGCGGCGGGAATATTTTTAAGTGTGTTTCAGTTTGTTATCATGAATAAATAGTTAAAATTATCGTAATATGGGTTGTTTCCATGAAAACGTAATGTGAAACGGCAGCATTTAGCAATGTTTTTAATTTTTTGTAGTTCTGGCATTTTTTAGTGTGCTCTAGTGGCGAAACGGTTCGTCGTAGAAACAAACATTATATAGGAAACTTGTAGTAAATTTTGTCATCTTCAATTTTACAAAGCAGGATTTTCTCAAAAACCCATACTTACCGAGATTCGCCTGAACAACCAAAAAAAGTGCCCAAATTTTAAGGTTTTTCACAAAACAACCAATGTTCCGGGCAAAATATCTGTCAGCAAACCTCATATTCGTGTTCAGCGACCCAAAAAACATAAAGAAAAGTGATGATTAGGACTGTACCTAAACTTTCTGCTAACTTTCCTAATATGCCTAGACTAAAATGTTTAAAAAAGAATTGTGTTTATTTTTTTGTTTTCCGTTTTTGAGTGACGTAACTAGACAGGGTAGGGGACCTGCAAGACGTGGAAGAGTGTCCAGGAATTCAACAGACTTAAGAAATGCAAAAGAGAACGTCATGTAGGGCCTAACTATGAAAGAAATCCAGAAGCTGTTTTACAACCTGTCTTTAGAAGAACGCTGGAAAATGAGTTGAGTTGTTTCTCACAATCTAGGTCCTCTTAAAGCACTTGCATGCATTGTGGCGCATTTCACTTCCAGAGGAGGCCACAAATGGACATTTAAACGCATGTTGCCACAATGGACATGCCACAACCACAAGTAAATGACGAACTAGCTGTTTTTACATGATTCGAACTTCATAAAAAACATAAGGCAATACAACAGTGCAATGGCTATTGCGTCGCTTTCCGCTACACAAAAAGAGATTCAGGGAAATGGGCCTAACTTTCTTAAAATTCAGGGACAAATTCATTGATATATTTCTGACTTACCACCGCCAAATGGGGAGTTGCCTTCATAATAATTAATAATAATTTTAAAACCTTTACATTTGGTTCTCAAAATGGAAACTATAACAGAATTCGTAAGAAGACAATAGTTATTTGTGCAACTAGTGAGAAAAGTGAGCAATTGACTCACTCGAGAGAAAACCTTACTCACGAGCCGTAGGCGAGTGAGGAATGGTTTCTCGAGTGAGGCAATTGTACTTTGAACTCGAGTTGCACATTATACTTTTCCTACAGTTACCATAAAACAAATAAATTGGTGAAGAAACATAACCTATTTTTACACAGAAGTGAAATTGTAATATAACATTTAATGTGAAGTGACAAATACAACAGTTCAACAGCTGACCAGCTGATTTACAGCCAGTGCTGCCAACGTATTTAGCGCGCATACGACGTTGCCTGCATGTTACGCGCTCACTATTTCGTGCCTTCACGTTGCAAATCTGGAGTGAGACAAAGTAATTAGAGTGAGACAATGTTAACATTGTCTCACTGATGAGCGAATTGGCCACTTTGCTTTCTCAAATTAGTGAGAGAACATGTACATTGTTAGGTAACTGTAGGAAAAACAAATTTTCAATTTTAAATTAGAAAATATGTGCAATGTTTGGCTGTATGATTTAAGCCCAGCTCAGGCCCACCGTGTGCACGTTTCCATTGTAATATGTTGTGTTATTGATTTAATCATTATTTTACAATTGTAGGCAATTTCATTGACACATTAGAAGCAACTAATATACGACTCCAACGGAAGGAAAACCAAGATATAAAACAAGAAACACTGTTAATTTTAAGTAACATAAAATTGATAATTTTAGAAACATATTTAGAATATTTGTCTTTTTATATATGGTTTTTTTATTGTAGTCTAAATTAGGGGCTATGGCCCCTACAGGCCACTAGTATTACTTTAATTGTTTTATCATTTTTTTGTTTTGACATCACAAATGAGGTGACGTTTTAAGTGTAAGCAGTGTGAGACATATTTTAGCGAATTTCCCATATAGGGAATAAGCTATTACCGTAGTACTCATGGTAAGACCTGGACCCAGGACCAATTTACTTTTTTGTTTTGAGGTCCCTAGAGGCCAAAAATACCATCTATTCAAATTCATTTATATATTTATATATATATATATGTGTGTCCCTTAGCGCGATAACTCGAGCAAAAATGATCCGATTTTGATGAAATTTGGTATAAACGTGTAAACTTACATTTATTAGAAGGAGTTCGCGAACCAGCATGATCAGGATATGGTAACAGGGGTTTATGAGGGGTTTTATGGAGTAAAAGTTGGTTTTTAAAATGTTTGACCCTAAAAAACAAAAATTTCACAATTTTTTTCCAAACCATTTTTTAGAGCTTAAAAAACAAATAATTTAGGAAGCGTTAGTGTGCGCCTAATAATTTTGAAGAAAATTCAAAAAAATTGTAAATTTAAAATTCTCTTGTTATTCTTATAGAGAATAAGTCAACCGTTGTAGTTTGCTTGTTTATGAACATGTTTTGGTGGAATTTGGAAAATACATTCATTTCTTACTAAACTATTAACATTTTACAACAAAAAACACTTTTTTACCATCCCTGTTACAGCAAACCAACCAACTGTACTTGTTGAAATAATTCTATTTAAATAAGGAATAAATTTTATATTTTTAAGGAGGCATTTTAGTGTAGATCCAATCAGGCAAATGGAAATTCGCTTAGTCTGCAGGTTTGCTGCGGCGGGGGTATTACTACTGTAAACATAGCCAAAACAAGTAAGTATTTTATAAAAATTGATATTGCTTTTATTTTATGATCAGTTTTTTATTACGAGCTGAACTTCAATAATATTTGTTATTTTAATTTGTATAGTTAAATAGGTACTTCATGTAACAGTTTTTAATAATGTTCATTCAAAGCAGGGTGCTAATTAAACAGACGGTTTAAATAAACCATTGTTTTTTGTGTTTTTTGTTATGGATTGTATATATGACAGGGTGTAAATGAATATTAATTGTGAAAAATAAAGTACTTTTTTTATTTCAAAGCCAAAAGTCACTCCAATAATATCAATCTAATAATAACATAAGACTAAATAATTGTGTTGATACTTGCCTTGTAAGACTGATGTTTAAGACCGATAAATTTGGTATTTTTCAAAGTTTTTAACTCTATCCTGACTGATATCACCATAAAAAATGTTTGTATACTGATGTTTTTTAATAAAAGATCATGGGCCTGGGCCCAAGGGCACAAGTAGTTTTAGGTTTGTTGGGGGCAGAAGTATGAGGAAAATTCCTCCGCAAGGAAGGGGAGTAGGGCGTCATCATCTCTCGGAATTATAGTGCAAAACATACAAACTGCAGTCCTGACCAATCTTAACTGGAAAAGTGTAGCTACGAGGAATTGCACCTGCAAACTAGATAAACCAATATTTTGTTTCAGGGCTTGGTGAAAAGGGCCTTACTCTCAAAACATTTCAATTTAAAACCCTTTAAAACACGTTTTTTTGTGTCTCAAAGCATTCCCTTGCATTTCTTCCTTGCATTGGCATTTCTTGCATTTCCTTTCAAAAACAGTTATAATAGACATATTTGTCTCAGTCCCTAGAACCTTTATGAATATTTGGAAATTTAGACAAGGGTAAAAATGAAAATTAAATTAAAAGTAACAAGTTTTCAAAAGTAAATAATGTAGGTACAAAAATATAGACAATCAATAGTGCTGGTGATTTGTAGAATTATAACTGGGGATTCTAGTACAAAAGAGGATATAGTCACTAAATCAGGCAACCAGTGTTAAAGGTAAAGGCATACCTCTATCAAAAATAGTCTCACCTTTGCTCAAAGGAGTCAGCTCGGTTGCTCTTGTAGCCACTGTCATTGAGACTGTTCTCATGTCTCAGTGAGGGGAGAGAGTCCCAGGGTGAGCGTTTGCTGCCCCCCGCACTGCTCGGGTACGTGCTGACACTGCCAGACCCGAGTGTTGAGCTACCCGAGCGCCACCCGTCTGAGTGTCGGAACCATTGAGCGCGAGCTGACTCACCCAGACAAGACGCACAGCGACTGTGGAAAAAGTTGCATTACAACTTTGCCATATAAAATCTATGAATAACTGAATAATTTATTGTTAAATCAAATACTACACAGATTCTCCTAGGAAATTATATTATATTCAAATGAATCTTTAGACATTTTCTGAAATGATCTTCGTTTGTTTTGGGGTATTCTAATTTTGTTGTTTTTTTGTTAACTTGGTCATGATGTTGAGTGTATCAGAAATTGGGTTAAACCAGCTAAGGAAACAATTCAGTACTTTGGTTTAATACAACAAACTACTGTTTTAAAAACAAAAAAAAGTTGTTCACTTATGTGTCATATACTAAGCCGTCCTTCTAATACATCAATTTAAAAAAATATAACTTTCTGTTGTATATATTTCTATATGATTCCTCACTTACCTAGAGTTGTTGTGATCACTCAAGTATCCACGCTCCCTCTCTCTTTCTCTGAGTAGCTCATTTCGGTCGCTGTAGTAACCATCCCGGCTACGGTCTCTGCTGTAAACAGTACCATATCTTCACATATTTAATTGTGAGTTAGGAATATTATACGGTTAAGAAATGATTACCGTAGTCCATTCTCAAACCCTCCTTCTGCTGTATTCATGTGGACTTGGATAAAGAGTGGATGTCCCCAAGACATATGTGACTTGTGACTTAAATAGTAAATATTGGATACCAGACGCTCTCCAGTAGTAAACATAGCCTTGACCAGTACAAAGGTCTCTGCTGATTGTGTCTTCCTATTAACAGGGGCTGGCTAAAACGACCTTGACAAGGAAGTATATATATTAGTTATATATATAGGCAAAATATATTACTTCCTATAATATTTCCTAACTATTATTTCAAAGTAGCTGTATTTCCCATCCCTACTGTAGAACTGTATCAGTATCAGTAGAGATAATTACGCCAAAATGAGTGATCTTACTCAAAAGGATGATGTTAGACGTTTATCAGATGGCGATTTTAAAATGTTCACTGACCTGGAAGAGTTATGATCACTGAGATAACCACGTTCTCTGTCTCTTTCCCTGAGCAACTCATTGCGATCGCTGTAGTACCCTTCTCTATCTCTGTCCCTATCTCTACGATCAGCACTACTCGCTGGCCGCTCCATGTTTAGCCGATGGGGCAGTGGCAAGGTGGATGACTTGTTCATGCTCGCACTGCTAACAGGCCCTGTCAACAAATACAAGCACCCTTACCAAGAGTATTCACATTATGTTACAAAGAAAGAAAATGCTGGACACCAGAGTGAAACATATGAGTGGAATATATATGAGGGGGAACAGAGTGAGATGAATTTTGCAGCTTTGTTACTGACTAGGACCAGCTGTTTAAAAACAATAGCTGGGTAACTGGGTGGTTATAGTGCTTCTACTTGCTAGATCAGCAGTTCTTAAGAAAAGTCAGAACCTTTTACCTTAGATAAAAAGAATTAAATATAAACCAAAAACAGTGCTGTGGTTAGCATATGTTCTTTGGCATGTTAGGAGTGCCGTGTAGTTATGGCGCACACCGCTGCAGCGTCTGCTGGTAGCATACTGCGAGGAGACGACGACGGCAGTGAATTGAACACTGAGTACGTTCTAGCGTCACATTGTGGAGCCTTCCTTTGACAGTCTATATTTATTCATTTGTCTATGCTTTTACCTATACAGCTTGAAACTCTAAAACTGAACTCAGCAGTTTTTAATAATTCAGCTAATAACAATGGGTCCTATAAAAAAAAATTTGCTTGGTAACAAAGCTCCATTTCACTCCAAAGTTGTTCTCTCACTCAATTTGATGAATCCTAGTGCTTGAAATAATGTAATTTTTTTTATTTGGTTGTCCCTAGTCAACTTGATGGCATGACATGTATTCATGATTCATTATTCATTATAATAAACATCACAAAGGCTGTATTAGTGAATGTATTAATCAACATGTGATCCATTAGACTACTTTACTTTCTCAACACAATGCAATAAGTTTCTTACTCTCTTTTCAGGATTATATGTCACAAAGCTAAAGTAGGGACGTGTTTTTATGTTCTATATGTTATTTAAACACTTTGTATTGTATACTATGTCTCATCTACTTACATGGTGAATTTATTTGTCATGTTAATGATTGGGTAATGAATTTCAAACAAAAGAAGCTATAAAACTCTACTATAGGTCGAACAGATAGATAGCGACCTGCGGGAGGATTTTTAGCGCATGTAGGGGAGGTAACGGCAAGGGAAGGTATGTTCCCCCTCTCCGCCAATGGCCATTTTCACACTGCACAACCCGTGTTGTGCAGTGACTTATAGTGACTTATACAGGGTGTTCATTTGAAAACTTTCCATATCTGTTGTGTGCAAAGGTAAGGCTTTTAACACTTGTTTGTTCTCATTTCCCCCTAATTTGGACATGCCAAATCCAATAAAATTATTTTCAATTTTGAAAAATGCCCCAAAAGGGCCCAATTTGGGGGGTAGGGGTGCTTTTTGAGAAATTTTCAAATGTAAACATGGGTTGTGTGATACATCAATTTAAAGGTCTAATCACCCCGATCATTTTGGTACAAAAAAAGTTTAATTATCTTTAACCGTATTTACAGGGTGGGTCAAAACGTTTTAAAAAAGGACTTTGAAGTTAAGTACCGTATTACCCTAACTACTGAACGGAACAGCGCCAAATTTCTTTCCAAGCTTATTCTTGAGCTACTCTTTAAGATAACTTGTAGTAAGGGCATTTTCCAAGTTATTTTATAATTTTAAAAAAATCTCAAATTTTAAGAATAAAAGAAAGCTGAAAACTCAAAATTCTTAAATAGCAAGGTATAACAAATTTCATACCACGTGAAAGGTCCTTTTTTAACAAACATTTTACGTATTTAAGTTTTCTTTCTATCTCTTACCGTTTAAAAATTGCAGTAGAAAAACATAATTTTCCGTGGTAAAATTGTAACTAGTTTTCTAATAAAACAGCCAAAATTCGTCTCTAGACACATTAAATGGTACAATAACTGAAGGAAACAATTCATAATTATGTTTAGGCAGATAGGCAAACAAGTCATTACGTTTTACTTTGTGAGAAACAAGTTTTATAGCTGATGAGAAAAACCCAAGCGTGGGCCGCTTTCTGTAGTACCATTGACTAGTCAATGGTAGTACTAATTTCAAAAGTACCATTTCCTGTAGTACCTAATCAAATATGGTGTAAACTTAAAAAAATATACTTTATTTTACTTATTGGTCATAACAAAAGTGTTCCAGGATAACTGCAAAGTGTTTAACAATAGATATCCAGGTATAACCTTGAGTCATATGGCTGTAAATGATTTAGTTAGGAAGTTTTCTGAAACTGGCTCAGTTACCAATGAGAAAAGAACAGGATGAAGGGTCCAAGATGAATTCTGACACACGTAAAAGTAGTCGATCAATTTATTATGAATCCTACTACATCGTTGAACAAAGTGCAATGTGTTTTATTAGAAAACTAGTTATAATTTTACCATGGAAAATTATGTTTTTCCACTGCAATTTTTAAACGGTAAGAGATAGAAAGAAAACTTAAATACGTAAAATGTTTGTTAAAAAAGGACCTTTCACGTGGTATGAAATTTGTTATACCTTGATATTTAAGAATTTTGAGTTTTCAGCTTTCTTTTATTCTTAAAATTTGAGATTTTTTAAAAGTTATAAAATAACTTGGAAAATGCCCTTACTACAAGTTATCTTAAAGAGTAGCTCAAGAATAAGCTTGGAAAGAAATTTGGCGCTGTTCCGTTCAGTAGTTAGGGTAATACGGTACTTAACTTCAAAGTCCTTTTTTAAAACGTTTTGACCCACCCTGTAAATACGGTTAAAGATAATTAAACTTTTTTTGCACCAAAATGATCGGGGTGATTAGACCTTTAAACTGATGTATCACACAACCCATGTTTACATTTGAAAATTTCTCAAAAAGCACCCCTACCCCCCAAATTGGGCCCTTTTGGGGCATTTTTCAAAATTGAAAATAATTTTATTGAATTTGGCATGTCCAAATTAGGGGGAAATGAGAACAAACAAGTGTTAAAAGCCTTACCTTTGCACACAACAGATATGGAAAGTTTTCAAATGAACACCCTGTATTGTGCCGGTGCCGTCACCGGCACGACACTGCAGTGTCGGTGTGTGTGTGTAAGCAGTTCCATTTGGTAACACAGGATTCCAACTCCCACGACATTGGGGCGGTGCCGTGTCGGTGACGTCCGGTTGTCGTGTCGTGCAGTGTGAAAACGGCCATGACGGGAGGGGTGCGGATGGCAGCCGAGTGGGGGTAGAGCCATAGTCTGTCTCACTCCCACAGCTCGGTATTTCTCTCTCGCACCAATGCTACGAAGAGGTCGCTTTCTAAGTGGCCGACCTATAGTTCCCAGCACTTTGGTTCAAAGCCCATTCATCTTTTCAATTACCACAAATTTTGAAAGGGTTAGTTTAAATTATATATATGATAGAGGATCCGAGTAATAAATGTTATTTGTACTGTAATTGTACATGATTGATGATTTTCTACTACAAGTGTAGAAAAGGCACTTGTTGAAGCTACAGAAAACAACAGAGTGGATATAGTTTTTGACAACCAATCAAGTGACAGCTGTTTCAATCCAGAAAAAATCCTTGGTTTCTTATGGCTAAATACTAGACTCAGCTGTCACTGATCTTTTGGCATTTAACAAATGGTCCTCCTAGAAATAGTCCGGTGGCTTAGTGAAATTACCGTTACATGGCGGATAAAAGCATCAAATTTGGTATGAAGGTACCTTAGGATATACTAATAAATTTTAGCCTAGGAGCCCTTTTGAAATTTTAAATATTTCCACACACGACACCAAAATCCAAAATGGCCGACAAATACGACAAAAACTACCTTTAAAACAATCCATTCCCCTGTTAACTCTAAAATATAACTTAAATCCAACCAAGACTCTACAATACAAACCGGAGACATACTAAATTATATGAAAGAAATATTATGTGTGTCTGTGTGTGAGTGGGTGGGGGTAGGTGTGTGAGTATTTATGTAACGAAACCTGTACTGGACATTGCGCAAAAATGGTCAAACCAATTTACTGCAAATTTGGTGTGGACTTTGTTAGTATCATATGTCAACATTTAGATATGTTTCCTTTTATTTATCTATTTATATAATTTTATTTTGTTTATTTTTACAATTTTCATCTATTTTTGTTTTTGTTTTAGATCTACAGAGTTAGGCAAAAGTATGGAAGCCCCCAGTTAACCTTTTAACGCGTTGCAGTAGGAAACCCAAAATCGGCATATATTTACAAAATTAAAAAATTCACTTTTTCCTCAAAGTTACAACTTTGCCCCAGCCCCCAGAATGGGGTATTTTGGGGGCAGCCCCAAATTTTCAAACTTAAACACCTATCATGTGACCACTCATTTTAAAAGGTTCATCAAGAGAAGTTGAATGGTGCAAACCAGAGGTCAATATCCCACTCCAAATCGAAATGGCAGCCATTTTAATTTTTTAATATGAGCAAGCAAAAGATAAAGTCTTGACAATCCCAGTTATCTTAAAAAAACTTAATATTTTAATACTGGCCAAAAGGTGTATTATCTTTTTTTATTTATTTATACACAATTTACAATAGCTACAGGTGTAAACCCAAAACAGCTATAATGAAAAATGATACAATATTAATACATAAAGTGAAGAAAAAAAAATTACAAAAAGTGCACATAAATAGACAATACAAAACCAGTAATGATAGTAGTAAAAAAGAGTGAATACAAGTTAATAAAAATGGACAACGTTAATGAAAATTTCACTTATTTTGGCTGCAAATCTAAAGGGATGGATTACATTACGTAAGCGAAGCGTTTATCTTAAATTTAAACTGCTTAATAGTGTCAGAAAAAACATCTATTTTATTATTGTGGACATATATTATAAAGGTATGTAGAGTTTAGTGTTCCAGCTATAACCTGTTACTAGGTTAATAAGGTATATTTCAAAATTACTGCCATTTTGATTAGGGGGGAATATCTTGGTGTCATACTGGACCGCACACTGACATTTAAGGCGCATTGTATAGCGACAAGAGGTAAAGTCTCAGCGAGGAATAATATCATCAGGAAGCTCACCAGCAGATGCTGGAGTGCTAACCCTAATGTCCTCAGAACCTCAGCTTTAGCGCTTAGTGTGTCGGCTGCAGAGTACGCTGCAACAGTATGGAATGCATCGTCACATGCGAAAAAGGTTGACATTGCAGTCAATGACATGGCTCGGATTGTAACTGGGTGTTTGAAACCAACCCCAGTACACAAACTCTATCCTATCATAGGGATCGCCCCTCCATCAATCTGACGTGATGTCGCTGCCGACGCAGAAATGACTAAGCAAGAGACAGACCCTCGTCACCCATTACACGGCCACCAACCTGCAGAGTGACGGCTTCGGTCCAGAAAGAGCTTTTTATCACGGACACGAGTCCTGGATGGATCACTCTCAATCAATCGGGTGGCAAAGTGGGAGGCCACGTTGACTAACCCTTCCTTACCAGCCAGGAAGGAACTGGCTCCTGGTGGAGGCTTTCATTACACAGTGTGGAACACCCTAAATCGAATTATGGTCAAGGTACCAAAATGCAAGACAAACATGCAGGAATGGGGTCTCTTACCAGACGAAGAAAGCATCTTGTGCGCGTGTGGTGCTATTCAGGATCCTGGCCATCTACTGATCTGCCCACGCCTAGACCAGTCTTGCACATTAGATGATCTTTTACATGCAAATGACAAAACCATATCGGTAGCTAATTTTTGGAAATGCGAAGTCTGATTTCCGGGCACGGTAAGTAGTATTAGGGGGGCGATATTGACTTCTAGTTTGCGCCATTTAATTTGTCTTGAGAAACCCTTTAAAATTAGGGGTCACATGATAGGTGTTTACATTTGAAAAATTGGGACTGCCCCCAAATACCCCATTTTGGGAGCCGGGTACAAGTTCTAACTGTAATGAAAAAGTGATTTCTTTTTATTTAGTAAACATGTGCCGAGATTGGTTTCCCCCCTGCCACACGTTATAAAGTGAACTGGAGATGTCCAGACTTTATCTTTTGCTTGCTCATCGTAAATTAAAATGGCTGCCATTTTGATTACGGGTGCGATATTGACCTCTGGTTTGCACCATTCAACTTCTCTTGATGGACCTTTTAAAAAGAGTGGTCACATGATAGGTGTTTAAGTTTGAAAATTTGGGGCTGCCCCCAAAATACCCCATTCCGGGGGCTGGGGCAAAGTTGTAACTTTAATGAAAAAGTGAATTTTTTTATTTTGTAAATATATGCCGAGTTTGGGTTTCCTACTGCAACGCGTTAAAAAGTTAACTGGGGGGTTCCATACTTTTGCCTAACTCTGTAGATCTAAAACAAAAACAAAAATAGATGAAAATTGTAAAAATAAACAAAATAAAATTATATAAATAGATAAATAAAAGGAAACATATCTAAATGTTGACATATGATACTAACAAAGTCCACACCAAATTTGCAGTAAATTGGTTTGACCATTTTTGCGCAATGTCCAGTACAGGTTTCGTTACATAAATACTCACACACCTACCCCCACACACTCACACACAGACACACATAAGATTTCTTTCATATAATTTATTATGTCTCCCGTTTGTATTGTAGAGTCTTGGTTGGATTTAAGTTATATTTTAGAGTTAACAGGGGAATGGATTGTTTTAAAGGTAGTTTTTGTCGTATTTGTCGGCCATTTTGGATTTTGGTGCCGTGTGTGGAAATATTTAAAATTTCAAAAGGGCTCCTAGGCTAAAATTTATTAGTATACCCTAAGGTACCTTCATGCCAAATTTGGTGCTTTTATCCACCAGGTAACAGTATTCGTAAACTAAAGCCCTAAGCCACCGGACTAAAAACCCCGCTTTATTATACTCAGTAACAATGCTATCAATTCAAATACTTATCTTTTCCATATATACCCCATAAATATATATAGTGTAAGTATGTAATTCTAATCTTATACTCACGTCGCCTGGAGGGGTATGGACTCCTAGTGTTGTTGACTCCAGGGAGTTGTTCGGCGAATTCTGAAAACAATTTTGAAATCAAGCTTCTTTAATTTACAAAACGGGTTAAAATTTCCAGAAGTAGGCTTTTGGAATACTTACTCACAGAAAAAGTCAGAAGTAAAAGTCCCCTTCTCCAATTTAATTTAACTGTTTTAGTATTATCAAATTTTAAGCAAATAATTGGTCCTTAGACTATATTATATGCTTAGAAGAAACACTAAGAAACTTGAAAATAAAAGTTCAAAAGGTTTAGTAGTATAACTAAAGCTACATTATTTTATAAATCGATTACTTTTGTACTTACAATAAATAGATTAGAAAAGCATGACTACACAAAAGAAAAACTACAAAAAAAATTATAAATTAAACCACCACATTTGAAATTATTCTCAACGGCCAGATAATGTACTACGAAGCTGTGAAAAATTCATCTTTCCTTGTGCGAGAAACATTAATCCATCACATCGAAATTGAGTTAAACATTTATGGATATTTTACAGAAGCAATGAAGTTACATTTCACAACATGTTTAGCAAACGTACCATGTGGTTGTTTAGACTTGGTAGCTGGGGAGGGGACTTCTAAGCCCGGGAGGACATTGGATTTTCCTTTAAGCCAAGCGATCAAATCTCTGAGGCGAACTAGGAAGGCAGTCCCTCCCCCAGCCAAAACTGAACACAAGAGACTAAAGTCACTACCACTACTAACACCTTAGTAACATTAGCAAACAGTAAAATTAGTGAATAAACTACTCGGACGTTAAAGTAAATGAATGTATTGTGTCACTTCAACAGAATTAATTGTTTTGTCCAGGAGTTTTCACCTAAATGTAAGGTGACAAGAGAATGCCTATCAAGCTGTGGTAGTTCTACATTCTTCTCTTAAGGGGTTCTACCTTCTGTTTTTGGTGATTGGATTTGAATAAATAAATTACTCTGGATAAAGAGTGTGCTGATCTTAGTGAGTAACACAGCTCATCTTGTATAGGATCTACTATCAACCTTCACTTCTATCGGCACTTTACGAGCGACTTATCTAGCTGACTAGGCTGTGACTGGGTAAGCAGGACTAGGTAGCGGACCACATAGGATCAAATGGAGCCATTCAAACGAGCGTAGGGCGACGGCGATCGAGCCGCGTTTGAGCCTGGTGTCGCAAACCATCGCCAGGCCCCACTTCCCAGCCAAGTGTTGCGACTCATTGCAGCTAGGTAGTCACCCATTCTAGTGGCACAGCAGTACACGTAGCCTTATGAGAGCATTCACACGAGCGGTCGGTCGTCACGCTGCAGCTCGCATACTTCCCTTTGTTCTCATTGGGCGCCAGTGATGGATCCGAGTGGCTTTGATATCAATATTTTCATCTTGTCCGTGGACTCGTCGCTCATGTGAACTGGTGTATTGCCGGGTCGCAAAGAATGCTAGTCAATGCAAGTCAGCTAGATAAGTCGCTCATGTAAACCGTGCCTTAATTTTGCCTTGAACTACGTACCCTGGTAAAGTAAGTCAATCAATCAAAGCAATAATTTTTCTGAAAGTGTCCCATCTTAGGATCAGAACATTTTCAATGCCACCTGTAATATTGGTAAATATTTGTAAGTTATATGCTTCAACTTTTCAGTCGAAGCTTCTTCAGTCGAGATTCGGATGTGTCCGAGGATGGTAGTGTTAACCCATAACAGCTGTAAGGAATATTACAACTGTTTGATGCGATGAAGTCAGCGTATATTATATTTTATTTAAGGTAAAATACAGTTTAGGGGCTAAACATACATTTTATTTTTTTGCAACAAATTCGTAACAAGAAGTACACAAAAACAGTTAACAACTCATTAACTAAGGTATTTTTTGCACTCGGCCTAGCTATTCCTGAATGTCCATCAGGAAAATGTTTAATGAATTGATTTTGAGCTACGGGTATTGTAAATTAGGTTCTCCATCTAGAGACCTGTTAAGGCCAAGTAAGCTTAGTTTAGATCTTAGACCGAAACTATGTTCTTTAATTAAAATTATTCCTAGCCAGTTTCTGCCCCTATACAATTATCAGACTCATCATATTAGCCAAAAACGGAATGAGGGAAAATAGACACTTCCGCCAAGTATAAATTGAGTTGTGTGTTCAGGTTTCTATGAGAAGGGAGTTAATTGGAACACTTTGCCAGTTGACTAATGTATATGCAAATAATTTCTTAGACATAGAAAATATGCATAAGTAAAATATGCAAGAGTTCGCAGATGGCCATACACATTTGCAAATTGAAGCTGACAGCCAGTGATCATCATTTTGCAATGATAAATTTGGTGTTTAAATTTGTGGAAGCGTTGCTTTCTGAACGACATATTTAAGACGATAAGATTTAACAGGTGCTCTTGATAGTCTTGGTTTCCTATTAGTTATCATTATTATTACCAGTTGAGTCGGGAAGGTAATTATTTTGTTCAGAAGAAAATAATTTATTTATAAAAATAAATACGTCTGCCTTAAAAAATAAGGTTGCCAATGACACAGAAAAAAATTTACACTTAAAATATTGAAGGATTATAACAGCTATAAGACTGATTAATTTTGATGTTTGCCATATAAATGATTGTAATACTGTGATCCACATTCAAAATTCCTCTTTCTTTGATCACTGACTCAAACAAGACCAATAAACGACCTCAGCCAGAGCGTAACATTAAAAAAACAATTGTTAAATCGTGTTAATGTTTACAACCATCTCCAAAACCTCTCCACTGCTTATGCCCCATTTTCTACGTCCTACTCAATTTACATACATTCAGCTGGCAATGGATGCAACAGTAGTTGTCATCTTAGGCCATAGAAACCTCACCTCACAGAATCATGTTCATGCTTGTGTGAGCACCAATTTTCCTTCAATTTGTGTTGGCTACTACTGTAACAACAGTGGTGTAGTGCAGTTCCCACTTTGGTTTACCAAGCTATAACCCTATAACCCCTAGTAAGCAACCCATATTTTTCCCGGATAATGAAGGAAAGTTTTTGCACTGTACAATTGACCACTACACAACTGTGTTAGAAGACCAATTGTATCAAAGGTATGAGAACCAGGTGGAATTTTATTTGATGAATGAAAGAATATGGACCAGGTCTCGGATTTGGACTAGCTATCTTAGTAGTGCCTCGGAAATCAGTTACGGTTCAATTTACGGAAATCAATTTACGGTTGAGCCTTGTACTTTTTCATTTCACAATTACTTTTATAATCTGCATTATATAATCAAGTAATAAGAAATTTTCTGTGGTCATTTACAATCGCTCAATAAAATAAAACTTGTTACAACTATTTTCATAATTTAAAAATGTATTAGTTAGTACCTAGGAGTTAAATACCCGTTGCTTATTTTGTGGAATACCTTTACAGCAAGTTTCATACTCGCTGCGCAGTTTAATAACTTACAGAGACAAGTGAGCGCTCTTAAGATTTATTTAAGTTGCTCTTACAATTTACCAGGTATTTTAAAATAATTGTGAATACGGTAATTTAAAGATGACATGAAGACATCAGGGGAAAAAGGGTGCAAGTCCACTTTTGCAAACTTTTCAGGGTGTGCAATCTAAGTTTCAAACCTGCTTGGCGGTCAGGCGGTGAGTCACTCGTTATACAGGCAACAAGTAGAGACTTGCCTCTTTCTTCCCCACTATGTACTGCACTTGCCTCCTTCTTCCCCACACCTCCATATTTTCAAACATAAATTACAGCTGTACTAACCTGCTTATTCCCCTTTCGAGTTTACCACGTGAAAATTTCAACAACAAAGAAACTGTTTTTCATCCTTAACTCAAAAACGCTAAATAGTGGACTTACCCACTTTTTCCCCTGGAGTCTTCCATTAAAAAACTATTACTGTTTTCATGATAAATTTTTATAATTTCAAAATATTTTTTATTATATTTTACAATTTTAAGACTCATTAAATCAATCTTAAGCTGTTTCCAGAGATGACTCTCTCCAACTGCGTCTTTAGGGCACCGCACAGAACCTTCAGAAATGGCTGCAACAAGACACTACAATTTCACCACTAATGCTCTAATTCAGTGCATTACTCGGATATCTACCTAGGTTCTCCATGCTCTGAGTGAGCAATGCCTCAAACGTGTGGAGACTGTAGCTCTCAGCATCCATCCCCTTGGCCAAGGTGTTCCTGAGATGCATCTCATACTCCAGCAGTAGTCTGGAGGTGGGGGAGCTGGGAGTGCTGACTGCTCCTGCGTGAGGGTCTCGGTCTCTCTGATAGCCTGTGCGACAACACATGTTACACACATTCTATTTACGGTTAAACATTAGTGATGAGCGACTCAGTGGTGATTTGTTTAATTTGAACAAATCACTTACTAGATCAATTCTGTCATGCTTCAATTTTTAAATAAAATTCAGGGCTGGATTTTGAAAGTCAACATAGTGGAACAGAATTTTTAGACCTCTTGCTACGGATAAACATGTTTATTTTTGAAACTATTTTTATCTAATCAAACAATATTTTTGGATAGGTACTCATTTAGTTTTTTTTTTTTTTTTTTTTTTTTTTTTGTACTGTTTGTAGTAGAAAGAGATTAAAAAGAATATTGAAGATACAGCCATAACTTCTGGGAAATTGTAAAAACTAACTTGATAGATGACTATGTATGTAATACATCTGAGGAAGTACTTCAGATTTATTTGGGAATATAAGTAAAATCTGCATGGATTGACCCAATATGTGATTGGTTGAAATTGGAATATATTTATTATCAGCAAGCATTAGAGAAAGTGGAAAGGTACAGGAAGAGGAAGTATCAAACCAACAGATAGACATAAGTGGAAGGGGTAACGGTTTGTTAATTAAAATTCATTATGGTTTATTTCAAAATGTTCTTAAGTTATGAGTTGTAACAAATACCTATCAAACAATGTATTATACTGTTTTGATAACACTCAGTTTGTGAACAAGTTGCTGTGTATTAAGTGCAAGGGGACACCACTATTCATCACACTGTCTGTTTGATTAAACATTTCGGTTATGAATCAATTAATTATTGATTGTTATCTTGATGGTTCAAGAGTGTACTCATGCTACTAGTTTGGCAGATCAATAAGTTCAGGAATCGGCTGTTGGATTTAGTTTTCACCTGAAATGCCAACTACCATTATCAACTTATTTCATTTTTTACTTGGAAAGTTAGAAATAGGAACAATTGTAGTAAAATAGTACCTATTTTATTTAAAAAATTAATTTATTGAACCTGAATACACAATTAAAACTTATTTAAGATTGGTGAATCAGAAAATAATGACCAGTAAAGATAATTCTTTAGTACAGATGCAAAACCAAATTATAGTTCGGCCGCTTAGAAAACGACCTGTGCGCTAATGCTAAACCAATGCTGGAGGAGGTCGTTTTCTAAGCGGCCGACCTACAGTTTGTGTGGGTATAAGATAAGTGCACAAGTTTATAAAAATCCTCAGATACAGTTACATGCTCAAAGAGGTGTATGATTAACACATTTATATTCCTTGCCACCCTAAGTTGAGGCAGCCCAAGGCCGCACGGCGTATAACTAGTGCGGCCTTTGGCTGCCTCAACTTAGGGTGACTATAGTAAGGTATCTCAAAAATGTCCTGTTACAAGTATAAAACCATGATTTTGTTTAATTAAAAAGTGTAAAAAAGTGAATGAAAACCACATTAGCCGTAGACGCTACCAGAGGGACGCAGGAGGCCCCTTGAGACGCAGAGGGCCGTCGCCCAGGCAGAGAAAATTTAAGAAACACTTTTGCATGGTGTAAATATTTCTTTTGGGGGAAATATGAGCGATTACATCAATTTTTGTGAGCATAATTTTGTGAAAAATAAATGGAGAATGAAATTTTCTTTTAATCTCATAATCTTTAAGAGGGACAAAAGAGGGGAGGGGGGGGGGAGGGGGGGCTAAAAGTCTCTTTCTGGTAAGTAAGGGTCTGAGGGCAGAAAATTTTCACTTTTAGGCAGGTCAAAAATTTTTGATCATTGTAAACTATAATCAGGTTATAAGAAATTCTACTTTACAAATCTTGAACGCATCCTACGGTCGAGGCAAAAATCTGAGTGTCCCAAGTCCCAAGCACTGCCAGTAAAATCGTGATTGTCTTCTTTGTCAATAAGTCATTCATCGTTCCTTCATCGATTGGGACAAAATCGTGAACATCATCTGTGATCACAGAGGCATCAGGAGCGTCTGTTTAGGTCATGATAATATCATGTGGGTCTTCCGTGGTCACCGCGAAATTGTAAATGTTTCCTGCAGTGGCAGCAAATCCATAAGGATTGTTCGGTACTTATTAAAAGTCCCTAGATTGGTGCTACCCTAACCTTGCACAACGTTATCTACGGCGAATCGTCCCCACTCCGACTACTGGAAACGCTACTCACTAGCATTGCCGACGGCGTCATGGGCAGACGTCCGCTACATTTTCCTACATAACTTTACATAGACTCTCATTTACTCATTAATTCAATTAACTTCATTTCTGTCAGTTTTAAGTTTTTTTTTCAATATACCAGTCATTTTTGCTGCCTACAACAAGATTGTTGACTCTGATCCACCTTCAAATGTCAATGTTGAACCATCACCCGCAGTTCAGCCTAAACCTAAACTACCCCAGATAGATATAAGTAAGTTTGGTGGACAGTTGGAACAATTTAACTCGTTTAAAGCTTTGTATGATAACTTGATTCACAATACTTCTTTGGCCCCAATGGAGAAGTTTAGTTATTTAAAGAGCTTACTAGAAGGCCCCGCTTTGTCTATTGTTGAAGGCATACCATTCGATCCAGACAACTATAAGTTAGCTTATGACTCTTTGGTTGAACGCTACACCAATCCCCGTATATTGGCTTGTTTTTATCTCAATAAAATACTAGATCAGCAACCTGTAAAGACCCCTAGTCTAAGTAGTTTAAGACAAGTTCTTGATGTGTTTCATATTAATGTCCAAGCGTTGAAAAGCCTAAAAGTAGATGATTTGTCAGATTTCATGTTGCTACAGTTAGCGCTACGTAATTTAGACAATAGTACAAGGAAAGCATTTGAGTTAGAATTTAAATCTAAGCAATTTCCCACCTTAGAAGACCTTATGGAATTTCTTCGTGCTCAGTGCTGTGTCTATGAACTCACTAAAGAATCTCACAAATCTACTTTAGTTTTGCCCAAGTCACAGATCCCTCATACTCGCAAAACATTGTTCTCATCTCACTCAACTCAACGCAGTACAACTCAGCCTGACCGCACAGCAACCCAGTCATCTTATCGCCCCGCTATCAGTTGTCCTATGTGTAAAGGTGAACACCACCTGTACCGATGTGATCAATTCCTCGCTTTGGCCCCGCACAAACGTTATTCTACAGTACGTTCATTCAATCGTTGTTTCGCATGTCTCGGTTCCCACCTCATTTCCATGTGCACTTCTAAGTCGAGCTGTCGGGTTTGCAGAAGTAACAGACATCACTCTCTACTCCATGAACCAAGCCGAGTCACCGCACCGCTGCCTAAGCAAAATGTGAATCCTGACCTACCTCAAACCTCCGCTGCGCATTCATCACCCTCAACCACCGTCAACCCCGCGTCTACTACTTCTGTTAACACTACACCTGCTCAAACTTTATCCTGTCAGTTTCAGCATAACTCAATGAGTAATTCTACCCTGCTAGGTACCGCTCAAGTGTTGGTTCAAGATGCTCTAGGTCACTGGCAAGTTTGCCGTGCTGTTATTGATGGAGGTAGTCAGATTAATTTTGTTACTCAATCTCTAGCCCAGACATTACGTTTACCAATCAGAAAATGTAATGTTAACATTTCTGGAATTGGCCAACAATCTGATTTAACCGCAAAAGGACTTGTCACTTGTAACATTGCTTCCCGCTATAACAGAAACGATAGTATTCAAATGGACGCAGTAATAATTCCTCAAATCTCTTCTGTACTTCCGGCTGCACCTATTCCCGAATCATTGATAAATCGTTTCAATTCTATACAACTGGCTGACCCTGATTTTCACCGCCCTGCCAAGGTTGATATTTTGTTCGGAGCACAGGCTTTCACAGACATTCTTTCGGATGGTTTCGCGCTTATTAAAGGCAAACCAAGCGCCCTCAGCACAATCTTTGGATGGATCCTTATGGGTGATGTTCCCACACAGCCCATGCAACAACACGAACTACATTCTTTGTTTGTTTCATCTCAAAGCACTGATAGGCTCTTAGAAAAGTCCTGGGAAATGGAAGAAATAAATTTACCAAAACCCTTAAGTCCCTCTGATCAGGCATGTGAAGACCACTATCAGTCCACTATCCAGAGAGATAATACCGGACGTTACGTGGCCTCCTTACCCTTTAGAGACGTTAAACCTGACTTAGGCTCCACTAGAAAAATAGCTCTCCGCAAGTATCTCCAACAAGAGACAAGATTTCACAAGAAACCAGATATTCGTTTTCAATATATGACTCACATGCAGAACTATGTTGACCTAGGTCATATGTGTTTGGCCCCTGCGCCCTCTTCATACATTCTTACTCATCACTGTGTCGTTAAAGAATCTTCTACATCCTCCCCACTTCGTGTTGTGTTCAACGCTTCTGAATTAAGTGACACAAATCAGTCTCTTAATAAATCACTGTTAACTGGACCTAAGCTTCAAGCTGATATTGGAACTATTATCACAAACTTCAGATTGCACCAGATTGCTATGACTTGTGACTTCAAACAAATGTATCGAGCTATTCGTATAACACCGGCTGATTGTAAATATCAACATTTGTTTTGGCGCTCTGACCTCACAGGCCCTGTACAGGAATGGGAATTACAAAGACTAACCTTTGGTCTCTCGTGCAGTCCTTATATTGCACAACGAACTTTAAAGCAACTAGTGCTTGATGAAGGCGCTAAGTACCCAAATGCGGCTGATATTCTAAGCTCCTCTTGTTATATTGACGATCTTGTTTTTGGCGCTCCAACCGAGACTTTGGCTCTTAAGCTTTACGATGAAATCACCCAACTTTGCTCATCAGGTGGTTTCGAACTTCATAAGTGGTCAAGTTCAAGTAGCTCCGTCCTCGCCACAATCCCCGCTGATCGTCGAGAAACACCCCATCCGTTAGGATCTACACACTCGATTAAAGTACTAGGACTTGAATGGGACCCGACTACTGACTGTTTCCGCTACTCTATTTCACCTGTCAACAGTACACCAACCAAACGCAATGTATTGTCTCAAGTTGCTCGAGTTTACGATGTAAACGGCTTTATTAGTCCAATTATTTTCACCTTAAAACATCTACTTCAACAGATTTGGATTGAAAAGCTCAACTGGGACGACCCTCTCCCTCAATCTCTCCAAAATGTTTGGGATAAATTCATCAAAGAACTACCCCTTATGACACAGTTCAAAATACCTCGCTACATTCTCAGTAACTACTTAACCGCTCAGCTGATTGGTTTCTCTGATGCTTCCAAAATAGGAATGTGCGCCTCCTTGTATCTACGTATTGAATGTGAAGATAATAGTGTAGAGTGCAATCTCCTGCAATCCAAAACTAAAGTCGCTCCTCTGAAAACACTTACGATCCCTCGTTTAGAATTGTGTGCCGCTCTTCTCCTCTCTCAGTTAGTAAAAGCGAACCAACCGCTTATTAACAAACTGCAAATATCAGACATCTTTCTATTCACAGACTCCATGAATGTCCTTGGTTGGTTAAATACACCACCCCACCTACTAGAAACCTTTGTCTCAAACCGTGTCTGTAAAATCACAGAAATCACCCCTGTTGATGTTTGGCGTCATATATCAGGAGACGAAAACCCTTCTGACTGTGGCACTAGAGGTTTAATGCCGAATAGTCTGTTGAGTCACCCTCTTTGGTGGCATGGACCCTCTTTTATCCACAATGATATCTCATCTTGGACTCAACCGCCTTCAAAATTTCCTTCGGATGTTATTGAGCTTCAAAAAACTCCCACGAAGAACACCTTAACAACTAACACTGTTCCGCAAAATGATCTTTATCAATGGATGAATAGGTTTTCATCACTTATTAAACTTCAAAACATCATGGGCTATGTACTGAGATTTATCCATAACTCACGATCTGATCAATGTGATAAACGCTATGGCTCGTTATCAGTTTCTGAACGAGATGCCGCTCTGGAATGTTGTATAAAATTAGTACAAACAAGGCACTATTCTGAAGAAATAAAAGCTCTAAAACTATCCAAGCCTTGTTCTTCATCACTAAGAAAACTCTCTCCATTTCTATCCTCGGACACCCTCATGGTGGGGGGTAGATTGAAATTAGCTCCTTTGCCGGAATCATCAAAACACCCTGTATTGATACCCTCTCAGTGTCATTTGGCAAACCTTTTATGTGATTACTATCACTTGTATTCTCTACATGGTGGTCCAAAACTAGTACAAGCATTGATTCAAAGACGCTTCTGGATTATTGGTGCAAGAAATCTTATAAGAAAACGATTATTTCGATGTATCACTTGCTACAAAATGAAAGCTAAACCCACGCAACCTCTTATGGCGGATCTTCCACCCTCACGATTTCAACAGACCCGATGCTTTATTAATGTCGGATTAGATTTTGCTGGCCCGTTTCTCGTTAAAGAAAGCACAAGACGAAATGCAAAACTATCAAAGTGCTACATTGCTTTGTTTGTGTGTATGGCAGTTAAAGCCGTCCATCTAGAGTTAGTGCATTCACTTTCCACTGAATCCTGTTTAGCCGCTATAGACAGATTTATCGCTCGGAGAGGAATCTGCCGAAACATTTACTCTGATCAAGGTCGCAACTTCGTCGGTGCTGCACGCCAACTACAAGAAATCTACTCTCTCCTGAAGAACTCCACCTCACAGATCTCAGAACATTTGGCTCAACGAGAAATAACTTGGAACTTTAACCCGCCATATGCCCCAAACTTCGGAGGCCTCTGGGAGGCTGCAGTGAAGTCGACCAAACACCATCTTAAAAGGATACTGCAAAACCATAATTTCACGGCTGAAGAATTCACCACATTCCTGTGCCGTGTTGAAGCTGTACTGAACTCCAGGCCGATTTGCGCACTCTCATCGTCACCTGATGACGACTTTAATTACTTGTCTCCTGGCCACTTCCTCACAGGAGACCTCCTGCTAGCACGATCGGAAGAACCCTTAAACCTACTCTCACGCTGGCAGCTAGTGTCTCGTGCCTCTCAACACTTCTGGAAAAGCTGGAGAAGAGATTATCTCCATACTCTTATCCAACGCCCCAAATGGACTGAGAAAACCATCAACCTTAAGGAAGGAGACTTAGTTTTAATGTACTCTAATAATACTGATCCTTTGACTTGGCCCCTAGGTAGGATAATTCAGGTTATGCCAGGATCCGACCAAGTTGTAAGAGTTGTTAAAGTCAAAACCCCTGTAGGTATTGTAACACGCCCTGTAAATAAGTTAGTTCATCTCCCTATGGTTTAGATAGTGTTACCTTTGTCTCTTTGTACATATTATCAACATTTTGTATTATCTTTATAGTTAGGTAACAGGTTTGTTTCATGATGACGGTTATTATCCAAGGTTTTTGTTTTAAAGATTTACAGTTTCTTTAATTTTCTTTAATATTTTCTCAAAAATTGCTTTTTTGGGTGGGGGGAATGTTCGGTACTTATTAAAAGTCCCTAGATTGGTGCTACCCTAACCTTGCACAACGTTATCTACGGCGAATCGTCCCCACTCCGACTACTGGAAACGCTACTCACTAGCATTGCCGACGGCGTCATGGGCAGACGTCCGCTACATTTTCCTACATAACTTTACATAGACTCTCATTTACTCATTAATTCAATTAACTTCATTTCTGTCAGTTTTAAGTTTTTTTTTCAATATACCAGTCATTTTTAACTTCACCAGTGCTAGTCATTTCCCTTGTTGTTGCCCCCGCACCCTTGGTCTACACCGCTGCTGTCTACACCGCTTCCATCCCCTGGACTACCCACTACCTTGGACGAGACGGACATCATCCACCTTCAAGACATCCGACAAGGTAACGGTAGCACCAGAATTAATTTTGTTGTTCAAACCGCCGTACGGCTTTCCGTTAAAGACCGTACAAGGATCATCCATGGTCGTAGTGAAATCTCGATTGTCTCTTTCGACCGCGGTAGAATCATGAACATTGCCCGTAGTCATAGCAAAATCCTGTACTTATTCCGCGGTCATCGAGGGCAACGAGAAATCACTCTTGCCTCCCACAAATGCGACCAAATCCGTCAATTTTTAATTAACAATTTTTTCAGACACTTTCTGCAAAAGCAAGTGAATATAGGGGGTTCGAGACTATAAATTACTCAAACTGCTTGCTTGGTCATAGCATGTAAGGTGTTTTTAACTTTATGCCACATAATAATGAAATGGTTTGTATATGTTTAACGTTTGTTGCACGTATGATATAGAATGTTTTATGAGAGTAAAATGTATGGTTGCAAAGTAAAACAGATGAAGAATCAAAAAATTATTCTTCAAAAACATTCAAGCTTACTTTTATAATAACTTCCAAATAGAATAAGCAAGAATGTATGCATGAAGAGCAAGACATACAATTGCAAAGCATTTTAAAACATTACAAGAACATAAATTGTTAGTTTGATAACTTTGAAATGATTTTTCAAACACATAGTAAATATAAAACTCCATCTTGAGCGTACCAGTAATAAATTTTATTTTGATAAGCAAACAAAACACATACACCAATCACGGATATATTTTTTTAATACATGCCCTTTTTTCGCACACACAGTCATAGTGCTCTGGGTGCTAACTCAAAGCTTACCGAACAAATAGAAGACATATATTCAGCATGCTAAATATTGTGAAGTATGAAAAATCTCAAACAAATTTCAAGATAACAACCGTGCATTAACTATCCTTTTTCTCTTATGCATTTATTCAAAAACCAAACCAACCTCAAATATCTTTTATTATAACACTGTATGTATAAACTTACAAAATAAACCTTCATTTTACACAGCTATGTTCAAATATTTTATAAATATAATAAATTCAGGTAACTACAAATTATCTATATTATTAAGGTATAGTGTTTCAACTTAAAATTCACATGCTGAAAATTCTAATCCCCTAAACTTTACATTATTTACAGATTTACAGTCTATACTTATTGAAAAATACTTTTTTCACTTTTCGAAAAGAATCAATTTTATATTTTTCCCCAGCTAAACTTGTTTATTTAGAAGTCAGGTAGGTTAGGTTAGTTGCGGTCATGCAGTCGCCAATACCTTGTCTATGTGATGGTTGGTCGAGATCTGAGTTGCCATTACTTGAGCTAGGGGTTGTTGCGTAACACTGATTGTCAAATAATACGTTGTCGGAGGGAGGGGAAATGTCCCCCCCACCACCGCCCCCTCCGTTCCTCTCTAGTTCCAGGAACAAACCCCGGTTCTGATAGTCCGGTTGCCCTCGACCTATCTCATGAGAGGAACGCGATCCTGTAATATACACACCACTGTTAATTCCCCGTGTTGACTGCTACTAAAATCTTTACTTATTTTAGTTTACTTTGTTATGTTATAGTAATGTTACCATTAATAATAAGGATTTTTTAGTGTTCTACCAAGTTCTAATGGTAACCAATGATGACTCATGATTGCTCAATTTAATTTCCTAAACTTATTTTAACACTATTATTTGAGTTGTTTCATACAGATGGTTGTTTATCCTTAAACAGATATTATTTGCTTAAGTGATTTTGAAAAGTTAAAAAATAACCAGTAGAACTTTTGCAAATTTGAGGGGATTTAAAGAACCTGGATGATTTCCAAGATTTAGAGGAATTTAAAAAAAATCAAGGCAGTGTAATTTTGATTTGTCCGATTTATTTAAAAGATGGCAGCGTCTTTTAACCTTGCAGTACCAGGAGACCGAGCTTTGCTGGGATTGAATTAAACATTAAATTTATTAGTTAAGTTATTTAGCTAAATTAAAAATATTTATTATTTGTGTTAATCGTGGTTAACAAATCTTAGATGATACAACGAAAACATTTTAATACACCTGTACAAATACATAGATTGCTATAAAAATTACCTTTATCGGCTGTTTTATTAACTGCAGCTACAAAAAGGTATTGCCGATAACATGGGTACTTTAAAGGGCTGTCCAACTCCAATCGATTTCTCATGGCCAAATACCCCTTGATAAAAAAAAATATTAAAAATCTGCAGACGAAAATTAAAGTTTGACCGTACACACGCTTTTTTTACATTATAGGATTTGTCTACTCATTTTAGTCTGTGTGAGGAACGTATCAAGAAGTGAGATAAACATTAGTGGTGGCCTTGAATTCATAGTCAGCCGTGTTGCAAACTAGCCACCCACAGTTATGGGTTCATTTCATTCCTTAACATATTTGTTTACATTTGATAAACTTCTAAGTTAACAAATACAAAACACCCTAGTTAGAGAGCAGCCTATACCCACCCATTCATAGGAAAGTTGATCACATAAAAAGTAAAGTGGAAATTTAGCGTTTGAAAAATAACTGCATTTCATTTTGATAAAAGGGCAAGCTTTTAAAAGCTTGAAACGGTCTGAGTTTGATTTTAATTTTCTAAACTCAAATTAGTTTCACTTGCTGAGTAAAATAAGAGAAAACATATAATAATGTGAAGTTGATTATAAAGTAATAAGGATTTTCTTCATTTACCTACCAAAGTAAAATAATGGACAAGCATATACTTTTTCACACAACTTATTTATCCTTATAATTAAAAGTACTTTCAGGTATATCGTTTTTTCTTTAGTTATTAATTCTTGCATGCAACTTTTGATGTCATCAAAAGTATACTCTCCAATGCTAACAAAACGCACACACCACAGAACTTAACTCACAACGTTCAACAAACTTCAAATTACTCTTTTAATAATCTTTGACTTTACAAAAAAAGCACAAAAAAGCAAAATATACAACTGAGAATGGTTCTAATAAAACAGCGAAGCAAGCCAATCAGCTGATATGAAGCTGATGATAATGAAGATGGTTCAGATGATATCCTTGCGCCACCCAACTAATACTTTTGGCTTAGTTGAAAATGTTGATATTCAATCACTGGAACGCTTGCCTAAAAAAGCTTACAAGCAATACACTTTGTCTAGCAGAATCACATACAATAAGCCATTAAACTTTGCCCAAGCTAGAGTTTATACATGATACACTTATGAATAAAAACATGATTTTTATTAAAAAGTCTCAAGAAAGGTTTGTTATTTAGTAGGTTTATAAAACCTCTCAAATCGAAATTACTAATTAAACTGTTGTTAATCAAATAAAACCGTTTTAATTTCATAAATATAGGAAATGATCCTATAAAAATCCAGAACAAGATTTCAAAATCTTATAAAAATATCAAATTTAAGCTCATTTTATAAATTAATTTATCTTAGACAACATCTGCCTCGATAGCACAATTTCATTTATATAGCTTTTAAGTGACTTACATGAAAATGCAATCTTTAGTGAAACAAGCTGCTTCATACTTAATTAAAAAACTAAAACTCAACAAGTACAATATTATTTATCATCCATTTAATGAACTCAAATTCTGAAGTAAAAAAACGTTTTGCATCCAATACCGCAACTACAATATTTATTCACATCATAATCTCTACTTAGATACTTAAACAACTCCAAAAGTTACATCTACAGACTACGAGTATGACAGGCAAAGCTGGCAACACACGTTAACTCACCGGAGAAGCGATTGCCCTTGTGTCGTCCCATGGTGTCCGAGTCATGTCGTGCATTGTTGTTGGCCGCGCCGTGGCTGTGGTGGTTGTAGTGGATGTTGCCGTGATGGTTGTAGTAGTTGTAGCGTCTACGAGTCATCTCTGGGCTCGTAACCGGGCTCTCCAGCGACGGCATCGGCTTCAACATCCGCTTCAACGTGTTTGAGTCCACACTCATGCCTCCTCCTGCAATATCCACAAATAGGTACCATACATAATTTCAGTAATGATAATTATCAGGAATCCTGTTTGTTTACATTTTATGTTTTTTATTTTCTAGCAAATAGATAAAATACTCCACTTGACCTCACCCATATTATTGTAATCAAGAAGCATTCAATTAAATTTAGTACCAGTAGCTTCCAGGGAATATTTAGTAGGGGAACAGCCACCATGTTTCTTTACCCCTATTGTCGTCGCCCATGTTATCAGAAAATATCACTGGTTTGTCCTTATTGCACCAATTAATCAAATACCTATAAGAGTTAAGAATTGGAAAATAATCTTTTACTGATATAACTGGAGAATTCTCTTTTTGGGTTGATTAGATTATATTATTTCTTTGTCTCATATTAGCATGTCTTCACCATATCGTTTATGAGAATTATGACGACTGGCTTCGAAAATCTTTCTTGTATGCTCCCTGTGATGGTTTTCACAACATTTCAGTTAACACAAAATGAAACTTTAAAACCACACAAGCATGTTTTACCTTCAATGATTCACTCTTCATTGATTTTGTACTCTTTGACAAAATCAATAAAAAACAGATGCAAATCTTTTTTCGAATCCACTAAAATGTTTTTTAATTCTTATCATGCATCAAATTATGTTATTCATCCATTTATTCACTGAATATGGCTCCTCATTATGAAACTTGAGACATCCTAATTTGAAGGAAACTCAACAGTCAACAACCTCAATAAATTTCAACAAATTAGTATTATCAGCATACATTCCACAAACTAACATTTCTTCTATTTTTTTCTTTAAGGTTTAGTACACCTTTTACACCTTACCTGACACCTTGTATACTTGTTTTTTATAATGAGATTTTGAGACTGAAAAATATTCTCTGAATGGATAATGTACTGCTGAAACTGACGATTCTCCAGTCTCTACGACTGCGATGAAGAGGACATATGTAAGATGCCTAAAGTTAGTAGATGGGAATACTCTTATTGATAATGTCAATATCACATGCAAGTTTAATTTTAATCAATTTTCAAAATTCCTTATCCAGGTAATGTAATATGTGGTATAACAAAAGCTTATTTTTTATAACAAAATTAATTAATAGCCCTGAAAGGAGTGATATCTTAAATTAAGTTCCTGGTCTTAAAATTTAATTTAGGAATGAATTTCAACAACTGAACTCATAAAATATAAACTGTACCCATTGTATCGTTACCTGAGCGGATATCGTCTTTGCCCAACTTGTTATTGTTGTTGTTGGTGGTCCGGCGGTTGTTGGAGGTGATGTTGTTTATGTTGTTGTTGTTGTTTGCCGCCCGCAGCTCCGCCTCACGCACCATGTCGGTGCCATCACCATAGTCAGGTCCACCGCTCGCCTTGTGTTGTGTGTTAGCCTGGGCGTCCTTGGTCAGTCTAGGAGTACAGGTACCCGTAGTCATCTTACCTCCACTCACAGTTCCTCCAGCCTGCGTTCCTTCGCTCTTGCTGGTCTCCTGACCCTACAATTAGAATTTATTAATTGTTTAAGCATTCATTAAACACTACATCTTGATCATTTACCCCGATGGTAATTTTCTTTCTTGACTTGACGACGCAAATATAAAAAAAAGGGTGAATGGTTGTTGGTAGGTTTAATTGACGGTTGTTCAATATCTAAAATTTCCAGGTCCCATGCAAAATCACCCACATTTTCACCGGCTTTTGGTCGGATGGACCCTTTGCCTTATTTAATGACCTTCACACTTTTTGTAACTCCCTCGAGACTCAAAATCGGAGCAGTCTGACCCCCTAGGCCCCCTGTTTTAGGTCAGGCTTTTAATCAGGCATATTGCTTCTTTATTTTCTTATACTTACTTGATAATTATTTGATAATAATAATACTACGTTTGTTTCAACAAACTTGATTTGAACAATTTTTCAGTTATTTTATAACTTAAGGAAAAACATGATGAAAATATGCAAAACATTTGAATTATAATGCAGTGAATAAAATTGCGGCTCAAAGCGTTAAAACATTGTAAACACTACGTTTACGAACCTCTTCAGTCTGAGACTGCGCGGGAACCTGCGTGGTGGCGTGATTAGAATTATTGAGCTTGCCACCGGGAGTGCTGGTCTCGCGATCTCGGGTCTGTCGGTTGCCAGAAGACAGCGGCTTGTTGGTGACGTTGTCATACAGTGATGTGCTGCTAGTAGCCGCAGTCACCTTGTCACCCAAGGTTGATGCTCGTCCATCAGCCACATCACTCACACGTGACTGCGCCCTCGGTAATGTTGACGACCCTATAACAACACACAGTTGTAGACAACAGGTTGTAAGGAACGGTTCATGCGGTGAGGCACCATTCACCAGACTGACATTCTTGTATAAAGACCCGTTCCTGCCACAATTCCATTACCACTTACAAGGGTTGTCCGTAAATTAGGGTCTCCAATGAACTCCCGTCTTGGCTAAGCGGATTAGTCCAAATCTGACACCACGTCGTTTTCTTCTAATTTCTGTAGTCTAAGGTGTCAAACACTATGAAATACATCAACAGCTAACGAATATGAATGGGGATAGGAGGAAATCTGCATAATAGGCTGTGGTTGCTCAGTTTTGTTTGTGGCAGTGACCAAAGTAAGAAATGTTGTTAACGGATCCAGAGATTGCTGAACTATAAGTGATTTCCCTTTAGACTAACAGGGACATTCAATTGTATTGTAAGCCCTGGTAATCTTAAATATGACAATCAGCCTTAAATTTGACATTCAGCAATCAAAGTATAACTTTAATCACTGTCGAGATGGCAAATGAGAATCACCCCCTGCCGGCCTCATTGTGCGAATGTGTTTGGCCTTCTTTGAACTGTCTAAGCCACTTATACTCATTTTTCATGTCCAAACACTTTTATGAATACACATCCATCCGTAAATTTCTAATGGATTTTAATAGGGATTTACTCTCTACCTATTCAAAGCTAAGCACATTACACAATAATTTATACTTGGTGGGAGAGTCAATTCCTTTACATTGTACATCATAATTGGCTATGATGATTGTAATGTACAAGTATTTCTAAATACTTGCCTAGCTATTATATAACTCAGGCAGAGTAGCATGTACCGAGTAGCATGAGTAACGGTTCGAACATGTTTCACGAACGACAATGTTTTTCACGTACCTTGGCATAATGTGGGCTGAGCTCCCTTGTCGTTCGTCTCCTCCATGGGGTTGGACTTTGGACCAAGACTTTGACCCTCTATTGTTAAAATTAACTGTCTTCTTAAGAATTAACAAAACTAAAATACCCTTTACTTTATAACAATGATGAGTCTAATCATTGCATATGGCTGGAGACTAGCAAATAATGAACAACATCAAACTGGCTTATCATTGACAGGAGCTGCTTGGAGATATTCAATCACAGACAACTCAACTCTCCAAGATACCCATTATTCTTATTTCTGTTATTGTTATCATGGTACTTATCAGTGTAAATGAATCATGGATACCGTTAGAAAAATTTTAATCCCCAGAAAACTGATGAAGCTTCCTATTGTAACTGAGTGTTACAAGATTACGATACTCCATGAGAATGAGAAATAATGGACTAAACAGACAACCCTTCAAGGTAAACTCAGGAGTCAGAGAAGGGGTTGTTCTTTTCCCCATAGTATTCGACAATATGGCTATAGAGAAAATAGCCTCTGCAAAAACTAGAAACCTAGGGGAGAAGATTACAAACTTAAATAAATAAATTTGCATCCCCAGATGTGGTATAAATTCCACAAATACTAGAGAATCTATCCACCCTGACCAATATCTTCATTAGAAAAGCAAAAAAAAAAATAAGGGATTAGAGAAGGAAACAACAGGAACATTAGAGACAAGTGCAGACATTGTAAAAGTGAGGTAAAGAATAGAAGAATGAGGCTGTGTTTGAAGTGAGATTGGAAGAGCAATCTTGAATGAATAAAATAACCAGAATAAACCATAAAAGAAAGCGACCTTGTGGGAGGCCAAAGCAGAGATGATGGGACCAGGTTAAGCAATCCACGAAGAGGGCTGGAGCCAAAAATGATAATAACTAGGACTGGTTGAAATGAAAATGTTTGATGTGCGGCTAAATAAATATCACTTCCAATATAAGTTTCATTGTCTTTGAAGTGAAGAGTGGTTGCAATCGATGACTTTAATATACCGGAGTAGACATTCCATCTGTGTGGACCAGTTGAAACAAAAGTTTTGTTCATATAGAAGGCAGTTAAATGAGCCACTTACAGAATGTGTTGTTTTGCAAATTGTACTCCTAATTTTTACCCTACAGTTTGTTTTCAATAAAAAGATGAATAGAAGTAATAGAACACTAAGTTGACCTTATATTTTTTCTTGGTTAAAAAGCCGCTGTATACCACAGCAATCAGTGATAGACCTCAGCTATTGGGTCAGAGTGGCACAATTCAACTATGTTCGTTTTCAGTTTTCATTAAAACTGGTGATAACTTGTATCCATAGTCAAAGGTATAATATGTATGTAAGTCAAAAGTATAATTGTGAAGATCTACAAATCCATCCATCGTCAACCTATATGCCGTTGTTATATATACCAATTGTACCTATATACCAATTGTACCTATATACCAATTGTTTAATTTTTGTGCGTGTATTTGTTACTGTGAAGATCTGTTTATTTGCAAAATAAGGTCTCTATCATGTTCCAGTCATGCAGGCCCACTTTTATAAATGGGCAGACTGGGCATATGCCCAGGGGCTGGGTGCCCCCAAAACCACCGCCTGCCAGCACTAGGAAAAAAGGGGGGCGCTGCTCTTAGGTTTGCCCAGGGCTCCACTGACCCTTAACGCGGCCCTGCAGTCATGATCAAGCAAGCTACAGTAGTTAAAATCTGAGACCAGTATTTTGTTCTTTACTTCATCCCCTACTATTCTAGCTGATTCTAACCCCTACAACAGTTTATCTCATCATAAGCCAAAAACAAATGGAAGGAAAATTTACGATGCTGCCAAATCACATTTTACCATCAGGTTTCTGTAAGAAGGGGGTCAATCAAATCCCTGTTCAGTCTTCTTGTAAGTTGACAGACGTGTATGCAAAAAGTGTTTTGATGTAGAAAATGTGTATAAGTGGCTTGGGGAGTTTGCAGAAGACTTAAATATTTGCATAACGAAGCCAGCAGTGGGGGCTTGTCAGTTTCCAACCAGACAGTGATCAAAATTTAGGAACCTTTGTGTTTAGGAAAGTTATTTGCGTGTTTCAGACTTTTCAGGGCTTACTGTGATTCTTGATAGTCTTTATGGGGAAGTTTCTTATTAAAATCTAGTAGGTCTTTTAACAGTCTCTCTCATTCGTCCACACCGTGATCTGTATAAAAAACTCTTCTGACTTTTGTCATTGCTTCAAATAAGACTCATGAAAACAGCAGTCGGCCTACAACATGGAAAGAATTTACAAATTTTTAAGAACACCTCCGAGCCTCTCCACCCCTTGCCATCATTTTACCCACAATCTACAAACACTTGACTCTATTCACGTCCATCAACTGGCGATAGACTTAAATGCAGTAAAGTCACATAAGGCAATTCTGATTTGGCAAGAGAACTTACACAACATTTTCAAATATTTTAGTAATACTAATCGTCTCATTTGGGCTGGGAATTGTAATGGATGAAGTAAGGAATCAAATTTAGTCTTCAATTTGAAATAGCTTGCTTGGTTGAGACAGGAGCTTGATAGCCCCCTACATTTATCCACTTCATTAATGAGTGGGTTATCTTCAATCCTGCATTACTGTTAAGCTAAAACAAGAACTTTCTGCATGGCTGAGCAGTTAAAGTACTCATCTGACAATTGAAAGGTCAATAGTTCAATCAAATTTTTAGTTTTTTATGGTTCAAAACTGTGCCCCACTATCCTTGGATCATAACTATCGTAAACAATAATCTTGTGGATAAATAAACAGTTAGTTTAAGTAACAAACACAGATCCGTTTGCTCTATTCTAAACTCATCTTGCATGCATTCAGTTAAAAAAACACCTAGAAGATGGTGTTGCTCTCATAAAAATAACATATAGTAAAAATATGAATGATAGTGACCCACCTCTGTATCTAGGATCCTGGGCCCTTAGCCTAGCGTACTGGTCAGCTGTCATACACGTGCACTGAGGTTCACGAGAGCGGCTCGGGGAGGCAGGTGTGCTCAGTGGCTTACGCTTGGTCTTCACTTTGTTCTGTTTGTTCGGCGGTTCCAATTTGAGCGAGTAGGAAGAGGACGCTTTACGCGAGAATTTGAAGGAAGGTGACTGAAACACAAATGTTCAAATTGAGACTTTGACTAACTGAAGTATTCACCGTGTTAATACTGGTGGTTTCAACATCATGCCAACTCTTAGAAATCTTTTGTGGAACATTATCAAACAGGGGATCAATTTAAACATGAAAAATTAGGTTCTTATAAATATAGGATACATTAATTGGTTCATAAATAGAGAGAAAATAAGTCAGTTTGACCAGTAAAAGAATTCAAGATAAGAAAATTGTCTGCAAGATTGCCTTAGATGATGTACAACCATAGATAAATCATACTCCCTTAGTAGATTTGTCATCCTTATGGAACAGCTGAAGCCAATTTTATTGTTTGTTCTGTACGTCCAACTGTAGAGGTTATGTTTTGTTTACAATTTGTTTCTTGTTATTTCAGTCATTTAAAACCTCATTTAATCATATAAAACGATTTAATCATAAAGAATAACTGGTCCCCTCGTTATATAACCAAATAGTAAAGCACAAATCATGAAAATAGCCCTAAAATAATAGAAACAAAATGTGGTCTACCCCAGCGATCAGTGTGGACGTACATGAACTAGACATGAAAAACAAGCTTCAAAATTTACAATGGGATGAGGAGTCTACTTGTGTTGCTTAGTCTATGGTACAACGTAACAATCCTAAACCTTATTCTGGTTTCTAAACCCCCAGTATTCAAATCTTGTATATTTATTTTATCAATGAATACCAGTTATTTGTGGCCTTGGGCCATGACACTCTATGATACTACAGTACTATGAATATGGGAGAGAAAGTAAGTTATTCATGACAACACTACGGTACAGTAAAAGCGGTAAAAAAATTTGTAGGAAAGAACCTTACTGTATCACCTTAAAAATACCTAGTGATTCTAATTTTACTTCTCTGATAAACAATTGAACAAAATATACACTCAACACAATTAAGCAAATTCAGCTCAAAAACTAAGCAGGAAGCAGTTTTCTAATAAGGATACGGTATACACAAATGTGAAGTATCAAACATGGATGTAGGTGGAAAATCTGCGTCAAGGATTTCAAACACATAAATTATTATGATTCTGACTATAACTAATCTACTATACCCAACTATAACTACTCCTTAATACCACATATGTTGTATCAGAAATAGTTGATACAGGTAAACAAAAATCTTCAAAGGTGGAACAAGCAAATTTCAAAATTTATCGCATGAGACATGGGAAGCTCAATGATGGAATGATAAATTATAAATTTAAATTTAGTCTATGATTTAATGATCAGATTGTACTAGTGATGCAGCATATCTGGCAAGGTTTAGTCTGCCAGTTTTTACTAGCAACAAACATTTAATTTTAAAGTTCATTTTAGTAAAATGTATTAGGTATCTGTATTAAAAAACTATTCTTCTCGAAAAAGAATTATTTGTTTACATAAAAATTTCTGCTCTGTGTACTTATGCTTAAAAACATCTTTTAAATAAATTAGCTGGTTAAATATTTTTAAACTTAATTATTTAACATGAGTCATACTTAATTTCAGTATTTAATTAATAGATAGTTGTTAATTATTAAAATTATTGACATGAATCCGAGTTTGGTAATTATTCTTCTAATTCAAAATAAGCCTGGATAGTTTTAGAAAAATTACAATATTTAGTAAAGTAGTACATTCAGCATATTGGTATTTATGTATTTTCATTAATTTAACTTAATAAGATTAGTGTATTCAGGCTGTTTTAAACACCATTTAAACGTTTAACTATATAACTTAACTTATATTTATTCTTGGAAAGATATTGTACTTGGAGGTTTTCACTTTTTACAGCAGAGTATTGAATTCTTTCAACAGCATTCTAGATAAGTAGTTAAACTTTTTTACTTGAACATTCACAATAACTGTCTCACTACAAAAAACGTTCAGTTTTAGTTTATTACAAATTGTTGAATAGGTCCCATATAAAAACACATATTAAACACTAATTTAGGTACAACAGTTACTGTTGTTTCGATCAATAAGAAATCTGTCAACTCAATTTAAAAATTAAACTGTACAAAAATGTTACACCATAACCCAAACTAATTTAGCCTCTGTGTAATTTTAACTATAAAACTGAACTGTTAAGCAACAACACTTACCATAGGTTGTGAGTGAATATAAAGGCAATTATAATTACAAAACATTAACGGAACTGTTAATATCAAAAAGCCTTTGAAACCCTCAACAATTTACCGCATGTAAATATTCCCATGGGTTGGTAGAAAAACTGTGTTATACTACTGTACAATCGATTCAGTCAAATGCACTATACTAACAAACGACTGAACTCTAATTATTTGACACATCAACTCATTTAAAAAATTCTCAATCATCTTAAGTAACATACAATATCTTTCCAACTGGATTTAACTGAATGCTGCATCAGTAGTGGGGCTAATGCTTGGTCTCATGCCAAAGACAAAATAGGCTCCATACCAAAACTTGCAACAAGGGGGGAGGGTGAGACTTTCTGCGGGAACCTAGAGCTTCCCCCTTGCTGAGTTCCGGCAGGTAGCCACTCCACCAAGACTACAAACAGAACAATCAAGCCCTGTCAACCCCTACAATCCAATACCCAACAAAATAGTGGTTCTATCACATGGGATATAGCAATTTGGAAGAAGAACAAGAATGAAGCATAGACAGTTGTCTATTCATCCATTTACCAAAATGGGAACACTCATCATTGACTAAATCTGATTAACAAATAGAATTAATATTGGATTTGTAGAAAAGTAGGGTCGGAACGTTCCCAAGCATTCCCACCCGACTGTATTCTAACTCATTTTAATTCATAAGAAATTTTTTATTTTGTTTTGTTCATGGAAAGGCTTTAGGCCAATATTTTGATTTATAGAGTAAAGGGATAGCAGCTAGTGTCTTAGAAGGCGGTAACAGATATAACAACCATTTTGTGAACTCTCTTTATATACACTTGAAAAAGTCCCACAGGGAACTTAATATTGTACGTTTAATTGTCTTCTGTGTCTACTTATATGCCCAATCTATACTTCGTGTTAGGTAATCTAGCTGATATCCTTTATTCTACAAATCTTAAGAATTCGAGTTAGTACACAGAGAAGTAAGGTACAGAGGAAACTCGCTTATTGGACGATTGTGCGCTTTCAGCTCTAGCATTTTATGCCTGAAATATACTTGTGACAAGCAAGGAATAAGAGCACAAGCAACGAACACTGTGAGGAAAATCGTATTGCACAGGGCACAGGGTCTTCCACCATAGTGAGCGTTGAAGCACATGAGAGTGAGGGTGCCGTAAAAGACTTTGTCCTAGACACCGCTTAAGTGTACAAGCATTGAGTGTTTCTCTGTAACTTACTTGTCTGTGATTGGTATCACATCTAAGACACACCCAGACCACTCTCAACCCCTATCCATCTATTGGACATATATGGGCAGAACAATCAAATAAACCTTATCATAAAAAATCTGCAACTGATTTTGAGGTTTCTGAAGGAAAGATTCTTCTTGAATATCCAATTGTTCTTATTGCATTAACAAATGCTATGACAAAATGATTATCCATGTACTGGACATTTTTGTTATTGTAACTTTTACACATCCAATCTTGAACTTCTGTCCAATTGATGGATGGACTTTCAGTCTAGACCATACTAAGTTGTATGGAGTCAGATTGTATCTTAAATGCTTTGATGCTTGTTTTTATTCCAGGAAAGTCACTTACTATAGCTTCCACAGAAAATAAGAAGCAGTAAATGTTTCAGACAACCTTTTTAGGGCACTAACTGACTTTGAAACTACAAGCTTCAATACAAGCTCAATTCCTGATGATCAATCACATTATGATGATTGCAAACACAGCATGTCTCCATGTCTCCAGTCTTAAGTTTTCAGATCCAAAACTAATGTAGGGAACTCTTGATGTTTGTTTTATCACATAGATTTATCAAAACACATAGTTTTTTTTTTTCTAAAGTACCTCCCATAGCAAATATTTAAGTAAATCAATGAATAATTCAGTTAAATTTGTTCATGTTCTTTTGTATATTATTAGCAATGTAAATACAAAATAAGGTGTTCCCCTTCAAAAGATAACTTGATAATACTGTAGTAGTTAAATCACCGGGTATGGTATAAAGTTAATCTGTTTTCAACTTTGGATGGTAAAGCAGTCGACGTTTTGATGAGCATACAGAAAACTATAGCCCTAAACAGTTAGGATTGAAACTTTTTCCATGTCTTTGTTAAAACATTAGATCTGCTCCAGAGAGCAGTGAAGGTCCATCAACATGCTTATAATTATTTTTTTACCTATTCATGTCTAGGTACTTGAAAACTATCAGCTCATTGGGTTATATACTTAACTAAGTGGGGAGGATTCGACTAACCAAATTTTAAAATAGACTGACCTCCATTCAACTCGTAGCAATTTTTTTTTTATGAATAAAAAAATGTATCATAGTTATTGATAAGTAAAGCTCTTATATTCTATGAGGCAGTTTCATCCTGTAGCACCATGGTTTTTAATGAAGTTGATTTACATAATTACCAAATCCTCTAAACAATGCAACCTTAAATCAAAACAATCAATCAATGAAATATTAAAACTTACGCAGCATTCCCGAAACTGTTTAGCGTCAATAGGTGAAGTGAAGTTTAGGCCCCATGTGTCGTTGGTCATTGGATCTTTCCAGTAGACAAAACATTCCGATGCTTGCCCTATCCTAGTACCTGAAAATAAACACAATATCTTAAAACCACTGAGTGACACTAAAACTTAATTGTTGGTGCTTATACTCCAGGAGGACTTAACTCCACTTGATTTCATGTTCATCCTTCAGTATGAACCACCTGTAATAAGAGTCTATAAAACATTATATTCAACAGCCAGGTACTAAACAGCTAGGTCGCTGGTAGCTAAAGAATACACACTGATCTTAGTAACAAATTTTCAATTAATAATGAGTAGGAGATAAAGTAGGAGATAAAACTTCAGGATTAAAACGCGAACACATCAAAGACCAAAAGAATTTGTGGATATTATTTTCAATTGAATGAGCATGAAAAGAAAAAAAAAACAGGCTTACCAGGCTGGACTAGTCGGACATCCAGTATCTTGTCAACCTGGCTGTTGTAAGCTGTGATGTGGAAGACACACTCCGGCGAGTCCTGGATACATGTGATGTTGACAGGGACCAGATCCTCAGACACTTGCTGCCACTTGACTGTACCTGCGCCACTGGCACTCACATGGAACACCTCTGCCCATAACCTGTAGAACACAAGACTATCAGAGAGTCCTGGATACATGTGATGTTGACAGGGACCAGATCCTCAGACACTTGCTGCCACTTGACTGTGCCTGCGCCACTGGCACTCACATGGAACACCTCTGCCCATAACCTGTAGAACACAAGACTATCAGAGAGTCCTGGATACATGTGATGTTGACAGGGACCAGATCCTCAGACACTTGCTGCCACTTGACTGTACCTGCGCCACTGGCACTCACATGGAACACCTCTGCCCATAACCTGTAGAACACAAGACTATCAGAGAGTCCTGGATACATGTGATGTTGACAGGGACCAGATCCTCAGACACTTGCTGCCACTTGACTGTACCTGCGCCACTGGCACTCACATGGAACACCTCTGCCCATAACCTGTAGAACACAAGACTATCAGAGAGTCCTGGATACATGTGATGTTGACAGGGACCAGATCCTCAGACACTTGCTGCCACTTGACTGTGCCTGCGCCACTGGCACTCACATGGAACACCTCTGCCCATAACCTATAGAACACAAGACTATCAGAGAGTCCAGGGTACATGTGATGTTGACAGGGGCCAGATCCTCAGACACTCGCTTCCACTTGACTGTACCTGCACGTTAACTTGACCTGAAGAAAACATACAGGACTAGCTACGCTTTTATTTTGTCAAATGTAATAGGAACTGGCTTTGGGTCTGTCCTACACACAGGAACCAAGAATTTGGTTAGGGCTGATTTTAATTCAGAACAGTGGGCTTAGCATTTTTATTTGTATACACATTGGCATTATTTAATAAGTTTTTTTTACTATCAAACATCAAACTTTTGTTAGATATTATCAATAATTGTTAGCAATGACAAATGGCATGTGGGTCTGGTAACGATCTTGCTTAGAATCAAACCAGTGATTTTCAGATTTCCTTTTATGGGAAATTCTGACATTTTTAACTCAAAAAATACCTATTAAACAATCCATTTTTTATCTATAAGTATAAAAGAGGATGTTTGTATGTTTGTTTGTTTGGCAGTCAGACACCGCTGAACCGATTGCCACGAAACTTGGTACATACGTGTAGAATGTCATGGAATAGGTTTATACACCATCAATTTCTTGATCCGTCCAATCGGCTCCGCCCCAGTGGCTCTGGAGTTTCCCATGTTAACCTTATGAGAAATGGAATTAATGAATCTTAACAGCTGTTTCAATTAAACAAGTTGGTTCTGTTCTATGATGTTCAATAGAGCATTAAAGTTACAAGGATTACCAACAGGGTGCAGCACTATTATTTCTTTTACATATATGACAACAGCTAATTTGCAAACAAAAGGTGAGTGAGCGTAGCGAACGAACTTCAACCTGGAGGCGAGTTAGCGTAGCGAACGAGCTAACCTGAAGGCAAGTGAGCGTAGCGAACGAGCTAACCTGAAGGCATGTGAGCGCAGCGAACGAGCTCCAACCTAAAGGTGAGTGAGCGTAGCGAACGAGCTCCAACCTAAAGGTGAGTGAGCGTAGCGAACGAGCTCCAACCTAAAGGTGAGTGAGCATAGCGAACGAGCTCCAACCTAAAGGTGAGTGAGCATAGCGAACGAGCTCCAACCTAAAGGTGAGTGAGCGTAGCGAACGAGCTCCAACCTAAAGGTGAGTGAGCGTAGCGAACGAGCTCCAACCTAAAGGTGAGTGAGCGTAGCGAACGAGCTCCAACCTAAAGGTGAGTGAGCATAGCGAACGAGCTCCAACCTAAAGGTGAGTGAGCATAGCGAACGAGCTCCAACCTAAAGGTGAGTGAGCGTAGCGAACGAGCTCCAACCTAAAGGTGAGTGAGCGTAGCGAACAAACTTCAACCAGGACGTGATTGAGCCATGCGAACGAGATCATCTTGAAAATTAAGAAGTTAAACGGGGCAAAGCCCGCGGGATTATAAATAGTCAAAGGCAAGACAACGTCTGCCGGGTTCTGCTAGTCAATTATATAAATTTTAAATTGAATAGTTTTACAATAAAACAGCATCCTCGTCGATCTGTACAAAGGGTCTTAAGGTGAGATTTGGGGTTAATTTCCACACTGGTTATTTAAGTAGCTACATACCACCTTCCTTTGGATGTCTATTAAATTTACCTTACGTTTACCGATGTAGCTACTGAAACCTTAAGGGGTTTTGGCCTCGTCAAAAATGTGCATACAGTATCTTTTATTGCCTGCCTTTTCTAATGCAGACCCCAATCTGGAGGTGTCTTTCATCAGGTCTACTTCATCTTTCTACCTTATTCTTGGTTTTCTAAATGGCCATCATATGGTACTTATTGGAATACAATTTTAACGAATGAAGTGTCTTTTCTATCTTTTACTCTTGGCCTGCCCACATCAGCTTTTACTTTTGGTCAGCGCCACTATACCTGGATGTTGATTTTTTTTCTTAGCTCTCTGTTCTTTTGTATCCTTCCACCTTTGTTATCTTGACCTGATTCATTTAATTTCTCAGCTCTATATTTTCAACAAAATAGGCTTTTTTTAACTCGCAGGTCTCTGATCAGTGCCATCTAGGTTTCTGAGTGTAGTGTTGGGATAATTATGTTATGTTAAAGTGATTTTGGTTTCTTTTGACAGTAGTTTTTCTAGAGACCGATACAGCACACTTTACAGGTTATTGTTTTCATTTTTAACCAACAGTTTGTTATATTGACAAACAGACATTCAAACATAAAGAAAAACTAACACTGTCAACATATAAACCACTTATAACTGTACAATTTATGATGATAGTTTGGCAATAAAAAACGTTTGATCAAATGAGTTCATATTATCATGGTATAAAATAGTAGCGTACATCTTATATTCACACAAATTGAATTTAGGACAAAACTTCATTCAGTAAACATAATTTTATGATTTAAAGTTTAAAACTGTCAAGTGGTGAATTTAGAGTTTGTAAATAAAAATATTCTCCCAGGTTTAATATGAAAGAAGGTGCTGCTTGAATATATTGATTGAATATATTGATTTATTCATTGCAAGATTAAGAACAGCCAGTATATGCTGCAAAAGTGAAATATATGTACTGGTACGTATAGATCTTATATTTGATCAAAGTTAGTAGCTAATGAAATTTTACTTGTATTAAGTTAATGATTATTCTTTACACGAATTTAGTTAAATTGTAAGTGGTTCCATCTGACATAAGCAACATTGCCTTCATGTACCCTTGTACTTGTAGGGTCTACAGTGTAGAATCCTTAGATCCTTAGACCCGACCTATCCCTTTGCAGCCATATGGTACCATAAAAATACCTAGACAATTAACCAGGATCATTAAACCCTTAGGTCCCATAATTCCTTTTATTTAACCTTAATTAAAATCATCTTCATTATTATATTATTATTGCTATGTTGATAGAAAATTCCAATTTTAAATGAACTCTTTACCTCTTTACCAATTAATTAACTTTCTTAGATTTTTGAAAACTAAAAAACTTAAACATGAAACCTAAAATTAACTTGAAATGTTTTACAGTATTGTATTAAATATTTTTATGAATGTTTGCTTTCAATATTATTTCGGTTATTACAACTATTAGGTTGCTCAAATGTCCCTTATTTCGTTCAGGTTCAGGAAGGTTAAATTTTAGTTCAGACTTTAGAAATTCTACTTGCGTTACCACAACTATTTATAGGTACCTAACTGTTATTTGTATTGACATATTTTTTATGAGGAGAACAATAAGCTACGTTCATAATAGTTAAATTTATGTCAAAATCGGAAATTCACAAAAATATAGATTATTTGATCACTTTGAATTAAAAACCGTAGCAATAAACTCTAAAATGACTGTTCAAGCTCAATTAATTCGTTCTGTATCTACTTGTAAGAAGTGGTCTAAATTTACAACCAAAGCCCCTTTTAGGCTATGGGTGGATCTTTTAAATTTTATTAAAGTAAAACAAAGCAGTGTAATTTATTAACTCTATTACCTGATTTAACGTACAGTAACAATCTCAGTCTAAGCTAATTTCTACACAAAACATTGTAGGTTATTAATTAGTTGTTCAACAGAACCAGGATGAAACTAAATAATTTTTCAATGGGAAACAAACATTCACACCACATAAAATAATAACTAACTAAATTCTACAAACTGCAGGAATACAATGTATATTGGGTCGACGATTCCTATTGGCTCGTCAACAATAATGAAACAGCTGATTGTAATTTAACAACATCAGAATACCAAAACACCGCGCTACCAATTAGCATACGTTCTGATGTAGATTTTAGAATACGGTATCAATCAACCATTGAACCATTATAAGCTCAAATTATTAAACACAAAACGATGAAGGTAGTTTCAATGTTCAGTTGTTGTGGCTACTACAATAATTTTCTAGTACACAACTTATAATAACTTTAACAATATTTACGTTTTTTTTTCAAACTTCTAACATACTGTTAATATAAGAACCGGTTAATATAAATCTGACCACGTTGCGGTACGCTTTTTACTTAAAAGAGATCAAAACCAATAGGCCTCCTGTTTATGACAAAGCTTACACTTGAGATCGTCCCGAAAACGTTAATCTACGAACTAAAATCAACAGGTACCTAGCATGCATGGACCATTGTACTAATTTACACATCTTGCAAGGCAAGCAAAAACTTGCAATTTCTGAGACAACGCGGTATCTAGGACCTTTAATGGATTCCTGGTTTTACTGTGGTATACTTTGACATATTTGATTTCCTACGAATTATTTGTGGCTTTAGGTTCATAAGTTAATCAGAACTAAATAAAATTATTACTAATTAAAAAGTATGTTTATGTTTTGTTAAAGGAAACCACTTTTTTCTTCACGTCATCATGTTACATTGTTAAAATTCGTCTGTCAGACCCTATAGGAGATATGAGCGCTGAGTTCAATAATTGGAATTTCATAATTAAACCAAACAACTCAATAATAAATCAGTCCGGAAGACAAATTGGGCGAATTGTCCTTAATTG